TGTTTAAGTTGCTGGTTAAATGTCACAAGGTCAATGAAGGCTTCCCATTGCATTTTTTAAAATAGTTTTATTTATTTATTTGGTTTTGGTTGTGCTGGGTCTTTGTTGCTGCATCTAGTTGCGGTGTGTGGGCTTCTCATTGCGGTGGTTCCTCTTGTTGTGGAGCACGGGCTCTGGGGCTTGCCCCATTGCATTTTAAGCAGCCCTTTCCCCACACCAGTAACTGGCCCCTGGGCACATATCAACCTCTGACAATACTGTATGTATGTTAAGTCGCTTTAGTCGTGTCTGACTCATTGCAGCCCTATGGACTGTAGCCTGCCAGGCTCTTTTGTCCATAGGATTCTCCAGGCAAGAATACTGGAATGGGTTTCCATGCTCTCCTCCAAGGGATCAAACCCACATCTCTTACGTCTCCTGCATTGGCTGGCAGGTTCTTTACCACTATTGCCACCTGGGAAATCCTCTGACATATTATATATTGTTTATTCGGTCTGCTTCCCTCTTTAGAACAAAAGTTTCATAAAGGTAAGGGCCTAAGCTTTGCTACTCAATCCCCGTCACTTAGAATAGTGCCTGACCCATGACAGGTGTTCATTAAGTGTTCGTGTAACAAATGAACGAACTTAACCACTGGGCTACACAACCTGGGCTTTCATGGGCTGTGATTCTGGGTTTCCAGGGTGTGTGTGTTGGGGGCATTCTGAACCTGGGGATGGGGGGGTCTCTGAAGAGGGCAAATGACTCCCCAAGGGTATAGATAACTGGATTCAGAGGTTATGCCAGACTCTATTCTAGAAGAGTGGGATCCCTCTATAACTCCCTTTCTCTCCCTGGGAAATGGTACATGCTGCCTCCTGGGTGATGCTGACCTTCTTGATAAAACCCAACCGTGCCCAAGGTCTAGATGACCATGCCCATGACGACCATCTAGGAGGCAGAAGGATTCCACTGGGTTGGGATTCTAGAACCTCTGTATTGTAGGGACTCTGAGTTCATAGAAAGGGAAACTGAGGTCCAAGAATAGATAAGACTCTCCAACACCACATGAACCACATTGGGCAACAGAGGCAGGAGACCCTGCGCCACAACCCCTGGAAGGAGCAGAAGCTGGAGAGGCAGGTGAGGCTGCCCCTGCCTTGCTGTGTGATCTGGGGCAAGCCACACAACCTCTCTGGGTCTGCTTGCCAAAGAGGAAACCTTGTGTTGGCCAGCTGCGCATGTCCAGTGGGTCTCTGCAAACCCCCTCCAAAGCCCCCCCACCGTGGAGCCGCCAGGCCTTCCTGTTTACTCGAGGCCCCTCTCGCGGCTGGGAGGCGACAGCCTTGGCCTCCTCTGCTCCCCGCTTCCTTCCTCTCCCACTTCAGTGCCTCCGGCCAGGCCCTCAGGGGCCCCGAGGCCAAGACTTAGGGGCGCAGTTCACGGGGGCGGGGGCATCTGAGGATACCTCCCTACCTGAGCGCGCTTCCTCTCTGAAACCCTGAGGTTACAGACCCTGTGCTCGTCCTCCAATGATTAAAATGTTCCTGCATCTTGGTAGCATCCCGAGACCTGAAGAGTGACCATTTCTACAGTCTCGGATTGGCCATCATGCTGCCCTCTCAGCCCGCCTCTAGTCGCTGAGCACACACTGACCCTAGAGATGCCCCCTCCTCCCACGCCTTCCCTGGGCTCCCGCCTCCACAGAGCATCTCCTCTCTGAGCTCCCCAAAGTAGGGGGCTGTGGACCAGCAGCTGGCGCCTCCTGCCCAAACCAGACCTGCCCAATCAGAGTCAGCTTTTCAGTAAGACCCCAGGGAGATGCGTGTGCACGTTACAGCTAGAAGTGCTTCAGGTCTGACTGTCCTGCCTGGTTTAAAAACTCTTCCTGGGACTTCCCCTGGCTATCCAGTGGTTAAGACTCCATGCTCTCAAAGCAGGGGGCACGGGTTCAATCCCTCGTTGAGGAACTAATATCCCACATGCTTCACAGTGTGGCCAAAAAACAAACAAATCTTTGTGAGCTTGGTCTATTAGGTATCCCTGCCCCAAAGGCTTCTCTTGAATCTACGAAGCCTCTACAGCTAACTTCCAGTTTACAAGAAATTCAAGGGGTGGGGTAGCTGGTTAAACGCCACCATGAGGAAGTAAGAGAGGAATCTGGAAAAAATTTTCTGCAGGACAACTGGTCCCTTCACAGTCAAGCGTCAGAGAGCAGGAAGGCCTTCGAGGTTAAAAGAGCTTTCATGGAATCACAACCAAATGCGGTGTGTGGTCCTGGGTTGCATCCTGGTTTGACCACAGACGTATTTTGGGGACCATTGGGGAAAATTGCACGTGGTCTGATTATTATCTATCACGGTGTTACTATTAACCTAGTATTCTTGGACCTCTGAGTTGTGGTTATATAGGAAAGGGTCCTTACTTATTGTAAAGTCATACTGAAGTCAGACTTTAGGGGTGAAATGTTTTCATATCTGTAATTTACTTAAAAGTGGTTTGGCAAAAGTAAAACAATGAGGTATGGAAAAATAGTGCCAATTACTAAATGTTGGTGATGGATGTATGGATGTTCATCATATTATTTCCTCCAGTTTTCAGTTTGCTTGAAAATGTTCATTAAAAAATAAAGCTCTGGGACTTCCCTGGTGGTCCAGTGGTCAAGAATCTGCCTTGTAATGCGGGGGACACGGGTTCAATCCCTGGTCAGAGAACTAAGGTCCCACATGCTGCAACAGAGATCCTGCATGCCACAACTAAGACCCAACCCAGCAAATAAATAAATGCTAAAATATATTAATTAAATAGAATATATATGAATCAAAATATGTCCTTCTGTCCCTCTAAGTCTTGAGCCCTCCCCACTCAACGGGTCCTCTCCATCATGAGGCTCCACAGAGCTGTCCCCTCTGCCCTTCCAGGCCCTCTCATTCCTAATGAAACACACTCCTCGTTTCCTTCCAGGCCCCACTCCAGAACTCCAGCTCAAGGAAACTCCGCCACCCGGGCCCCCTCTGAGTTCTGTGTGCTGAGCTGCCCAGAGCTGGTCTGGGTGGAGTAGCTCAGGTGGAATTTTGTGAATACAGCCGCCCTTGTTCCAAGAGTCACTGTTCCAGGGGGTTTGTGACCCCGTCTTGCGAGCATAGCAGTTGCTCTGGAAAGTAGAATGAACAAACATGAACAAAGGAAACCCTCACAGGGAGGTTTGTGGTGGCAAGGATGGGGTGGAGCTGCTAAAAATGTGCTGTTGTTTTTTTTCCAAATTCTCAAGTTTTTTTTTTTTTTTTTTTAATGAATAAAGTGATTCCATGGTGAAGAGTTTGGGTCAGCTTAGGTTTTCATAAATTTAAAGACATACCTGAATTAATGAAGCTGTACTTAAAAAAATAAAGATAATGAAGATGATTTTGTCAGGTAGACTTCTCTTAGCTTTGTATCATTTGGGGCATGTTTTTCCACTCACCCTCATACTGATCATGACAACCTTGACAGAGGAGGTGCATGCACGCCTATGTGTGTTTTATTCCAGTTTGACAGATGCTCAGACAGTAAAGAATCTTCCTTCAATGAGGGAGACCTGGGTTCGATCCCTGGGTCAGGAAGATCCCCTGGAGAAGGCAATGGCAACCCACTCCGGTATTCTTGCCTGGAGAATTCCAAGGACAGAGAAGTCTGGCAGGCTACAGTCCATGGGGTCGCAAAGTGTGGGACACGACTGAGTGACTGCACTTTCACTTTCCTTTTGACAGATGCAACATGGAGACCCCGAGGTGAGAGGTCACAGAACGAGTTGGGGCTCCCTTGCGTGTCCCGTTGGCATGGCTCACAGACTAACCAGCTGCAGAAGACCAATCTGTACCCCACCCAGGGGGCCTCATGGTGTGGGCCTTCTAGAACCTATCTCCCCTATACTATTATCTACCGATTTCATGTTCTTCTTTCAATAGACTCACTTTTTATAACTTAAATATGTTTATTTTAAAGGAAAGTTTAAACGACTGTAAATGGAAAACCAGCCGCACTTGCCATAAATAGAAGTGGACACACATGGGTCGCCCTCACCCCACCCAGGATTACGTCCCAGCCAGGGGTGCCCTGCTGGAGGCTCTCTTGGCTTTAATGGGAGCCAGCTGGGCGGGACAGGTGTATAGGGACACGTGAGCACTAAGGGAGACGCTCTCCGTGGTGAGGTCAAGGCGTGAAAGAGAACAGAAGAGGGAAGATAGCTCTCCCGGGGGATTCTGGGGGATTCCGAGGCATTCCCAAAGCACCCTGCCAAGGCTGCTCTGGTCTGTGGTCGCAGAGGCCATGGCACTGACCACTCACACCCCTGGCTCAGTGTGTTCTCGTCCTAACCTTGGTGGGGAGGGGGGAGGAGCACTGAGCCTAATTCAGATTGGGAAATGGGCTCACGGAGGGCAGGTTGTGACCAGTCCAGGGCTACGTGGTGGGACATCCTTCGGGTCTCACCTCCAGGGAGGCACTCCTTGACCATGACCCCCATTCATTCCCAGTGCCCTGTCCAGACCCTCAGAGCGTCTTGCTCCAAGGAGGCCAATTCACTGCCCACCCAGCTAGCTGATGGGTGTTGGCCTCCCTGTCTAGGGAGCCCCTACCCCCACCCCCAGTCCATGACCATGCTGCCTGCTCCAGCCCTGTCCCCAGCGACGGTTTGGGACAGAAAACATGCTTAGAGAGCTAAGGGGCTCAAGGTCAAGGCCACATAGCAAGGATACAGGGGAAGCCAGGCCAGGGCCCAGCTCTGCCTGACCATGAGCCCCTGAGAGCCAGGACCCCAGTTCCATCACCCAGCGTCCCCCGGCCTGGCACAGCTTGGGCCCAGCACACCCCTGTGTGAGGGGGGTTTTCCTCTGCAGCAAGGAGGGGGCACCAGCTGAAGCGGGTTGAGAGGGGCCCCAGCGAGGAACCGAAGGGGGAGGGGCTGGGGACTCAAGGCTGCGGCGTCCACGCCCTGTGAATCAACCCTGATGGAAGCAAAGAAAAAGGAATAAAACTGAATGTCCTTGGAAACTCCTTTAGTGCTCGGCTGTCCATGAAAACAGGATAAAGTGGCTTCCTCTGCCTGTGTTCAGCTGGGCAGGGTGGAGGCGCTGAGCTCAGGCCGGGAAGGCCTCGAGTCAGGACGAGGGTGGGGCGGGGCTTTCGCTGGGGAGGGGGCTCCAGCTTGGCTACTTGAGGGCGTCCAGGTGGGTGCAGACCTGGGAGAAGACACTGTCCACAGAGCCTTCGGCGTTGACCTGTAGGGAGACGGGCCGTGAGGGCAGGATGCCTGTGGGGCTTGGTGAGGGGGCTGGGTGGACCCCACCAAGGCAGGGGGCTGACCCCACCCCCCCAGAGGCCAAGCCAGGCTCCCCAAGCCCAGCCACAGTGGACAGCAGCCTCTTGTCCAACCAGTGAGGGAAACCAAGGCCCAGACAGGAGGACTGTCCCAGAGTGACAGCAATTGGAGGCCACGCCAGGCAAAGACCCAGGTTTTCTCTTGGGCCTGCACCTTGCGAACAATGCCGCGTTTCTCATAGAAGGCGATGACGGGCTCTGTGGCCTTGTAGTAGGTTTCCAGACGCTTCTTGATGGTCTCTTCGTTGTCGTCCACACGCCCGCTGGTCTCTCCGCGCTTCAGGAGCCGCTTGGTCATGGTCTCAGGGCCGGCGTCCACATACAGCAGTAGCGTGGGATGTGCGATCTGTGGGCAGGGTGTTATTTACAGAGGGTCCACTCCCACCCTTCTCCCCCACTTTCCACTTCTGAGGCCCACCTGAGACCCACTCAGACCGTCCAGCCCTTCCCCAAGGCAGCCTGAGGAAACTTCCTCAAACCCATCTGCCCTGCCCCTCCCCTGCTCACACCTCTGCCATGGCTCCCCAGTACCCTCAGGAGAAAGTCCTAACTCCTCACCTGACCTGCCCTCCTCATCTCATGCTTCTCATGCCTTTGCTGTCCTGGCTTCAGCCACATGACCGGCTGTGGTCGGGCTCTCACCCCTGCCTCCCCAGGCCTCTGCTCATTCTGGGAACCTCAGTTAGAAACCCTTTCCCTCAACACCAAGAGCTTGCCTTCCAATTTGAGCTAAAATCTCATTCCTCTAGGGCAGTCTTCTCAGATGCCCCCTCCCCCGCCCCAAGCACTGTCCCAGCTCTCTGGGATGCTCTCCCTGGTGGCTCAGGCCGCAAAGAATCTGCCTGCAACGCAGGACACTCAGTTCGATCCCTGGGTTGGGAAGATCCCCTGGAGAAGGAAAGGGCAACCCACTCCAGTATTCTTGCCTGGAGAATCCCATGGACAGAGGAGCTTGGTGAACAAGGGGTCACAAAGAGTCGGACAAGACTGAGCGACTGACATGCTCTTTCACTTTTTTGCAGTCAGTCCCCTTTACTTCTGCCTTGAGCTTGTCCCAGGAGTGTGTGCGTGTGTGCTCGGTTGCTTCAGACTCTGCAACTGCAGGGACTGTAGCCCACCAGGCTGCTCTGTCCATGGGATTATCCTGGCAAGAATACTGGAATGGGTTGAGTTGCCATTCCCTCCTTCAAGGGATCTTCCTGACCAGGGATCGAACCCTCGTCTCTTGCAGCTCCTGCACTGGCAGGCGGAGCCATGGAGCCACCTGGGAAGACTTGCTTCAGGAGGGCCTTCTGGTTATTTATTTAACATCCCTCTCCCAGGCAGACATGGAGCCCCTGAGGGCAGGTAGATGCATCTTATACCTGTAGAGCTGATGTGAGCCTGACTAAGGAACAAGGGCTGAGCGAAGGGGCAAGGGGCTGCTGAGCTCTGGGAGTTCTCAACAATGTCGCTGTCATTGCAATAAGCAGTTCATCTGCAGAGAAGGTTTGGAAGGCCCAGGTCGACCAGTCCTCCTTCAGTGAGGACCAGTCCTCCTTCAGTGAGGCCCAGGCGCCCCCTAATGGCCAGAGCCAAACAGACCAGGTTTCCAGAGGCTGGAGGACACAGTGGAGCTGGGCCCTGTGCCAAGTCCAGCACCCACAGTATCACCCACAACAGCCCCAGGAAGGATGGGGTCTTTCATTGACCACATTTTCTAGACGTGACTGTCACGGCCTGAAGTGACGTCACACAGCTGGTACGTCAGGACATGCTCAGGGCTGCCTGGCATCGGACTTCAGGACCCAAGACCTCCTAGCTCGAAGGAAGCCCAGCTAATCCCCATCTCACAGACAGGGAAACTGAATCCCAGGCCAGGATAGACACTTTCTTGAGGTCCTGCAGCCTCTTAGAGGTTGAGAAATATGGTGTTGTGACGCCCCTGGTGGTCCAATGGCTAAGACTCCTTACTCCTGATGCAGGGGGCTCAGGTTTGATCCCTGATCAGGGAACTAGAACCCATAAGCTGCAAATAAGAGTCCAAGTGCTGCAATTAAAGAGCCCATGTGTTGCAACTAAGACCTGGAGCAGCCAAAAAAATATATTTTTTAAAGAAATATGGTATATTTCTACTGGGTTAGGCTCAAAGCTGTGGAAGCCCAAAGATGGCCCAGCCTCACAGAGACGAGCAGTGGAGATGGAAGTCTGTCCTACCCCAGCCCCCTAAGATGTCAGGTCCTCCCCATATATGGCCCTGCTGCTGAGAATTGCCCCTGAGTCCCCATCCACACTTGCTGACCTCTCCCTCCTCCTAGGAACTTGCAGTTTCCTGTTTCCCCATATGGCCTGTGACGTCAGAGGTACTGGCATTTATCAGAGGTGTGTGTATGTATGTGTACTTGTGTATGTGTGTATGTATGTGTGTACATCTGTGTGTGTGTATATGTGTACAATCTCTGTGTATACCTGAGTACACCTGTGTGTATGTATACGTGTGTATGTGCATACATCTGAGTGCACATGTGTGTGTACATCTGTGTGTATACATGTGTGTATGTGTGTACATCTCTGTGCACACATGGGTGCATCTCTGTGTGTCCCTGTATTGGGATATCCTACACCCTGCTTCCTTGCACACACATTGCATGAGTGTGTGGGTGTGTACACCACACGCCTGTGTACATGTGTACATATGCCTCTGGCCTTGTGCATGCGTGTCTGTCGGTACTTGTATGTACATGCACCTGTGTTTGTATGCCTGTGGTCACCTGCCTGTACATGTGTGTGTTTGGGTGAGGTGTTCCCACGCTGGAGAAGATCCTCCTGGAGGGCACTTGTGCCAGGCAGCCCAAAGCCCTCCTCCTCAAGGCTGTCTCTGTCCAGCCAGACTTCCTGCGGTGCCTGCAAGGGGGCTAGACTCCCCCCATGGCATTCAAGACCTCAGCCGGGCCTGAACCTCCCTCCCCATGGTACTTCAAGTTTCCCTGCCCCACAGATTCTGTTCTCCTCACATCCCCTGGCCGTCCAGCACCGTCTATGCTGTTTGCTGCCCCTCTGACTGTGTGTTCACAGGGTGCCAAGTCCCACTTTTGAAGGGTGCATTCTCTGTAACCTTCATGCTACCTTTCAAGGATAATGTCTGTCCCCATTTTGCAATTGGAGACACGAGGTTCAGAAAGGCAGGATGACTGGCCCAAGGCCTCAAACAGCTGAACGGGAACCCACGGCCAGGTTTGTGAAGCCCCCAGCCCACTGCCTCCTTGTCTACTAATTTCCTCTAGACTTCAGAAAGACCTCCAGAGAGTCATGCTGGTCTTCCTCCTTGCCCACCTGCCACCCTCCGACGGTCAGCCTCCCTCTCCCTCGTCTCAGAACTGCCCATCGCGAGGAGCTCCTGCCTGCCCAATCTGCGTCGCAGCTCCCCCGGCTGCGCTTACCCTCCGCTCAAACTCCTCCCCCTGCTGCACTTCCCGGGGATAGCCGTCGATCAAGAAGCCTTTGGAAGTATCCACTTTGGCCACCATGGCATCCCGCAGCATGTCCAACACTGTCTCCTGGGGGCGCAGCAAAAGAAGGGAGGGTCAGGAGCCCTTCTTCTCCAGGTCCTGCTCAAGCCTCTGCACCCGCTGCCCCACAGTCAGAAATGCTCTCGGCCCTAACAGATTTCCCAAGCGAGCCGCCCTCTACCGGAAGCCGCCTCTGAATTACAAAGACTTGATTGATTGATTGGGCCATTCATTCAATCATCCATTCATTTCTTCATTCACTCAATAATTTGACTGGGCCCCTCCTTCCAGCCTCCTGTCTGAGCCCTGAGGACACAGCTCTGAACAAAGCAGACCTTCCCTGTCCTCAGCACGCTCACAGCCTGCTGAAGGGACAGACCATTACACAGTTCATTTACAGTTTCCAAGAATGACATGGGCTATATACTGGCAAAGAAGCGGGGGCGACTGGAGTCTAAAGAGGGGGGCGGGAGCCTAAAGTGGGGGGCGGGTCTTGGCCCAAATCTGAGGGAGTCAGCAAGGTCTGAAAGCTGAGGAAGAAGGAACATTCCAGGCAGGAAGGAGTAGGATGAATGTGAGCAGACAGAAAGGTCGGGATGCTGGGAGGGTGCAGAGCTGAGGCCAGGGGGTGAGGACTCGGGGGTGTGGGGAGGGGCGCTGAAGGGCGTCGGAAGGCTCTTGGGAGCTTCCGGAAGGAATTTTCTGCCAACGGCAATGAGGGCTCTCAGAGCCAGGGAAGGTCATGGTCAGCCCTGCCGATGTGTCATGGGCTTTGCTGGTTGGCGTCCACGCAGGGCCACCACCGCCCCCCAACCCTCACCCCACTGGGGCCCACTCACCAGTGGCACCAGCTGCCCCTTCTCCATGATTTCTGACAGCATCTTGCCCCTAGCTGAGCCCGAGCTGACCTCGGCCCGCAGGAGGTCTCCGGTGGAGAGGTGGGTGTAGCCGTACTTCTGGACAATCTTCTCACACTGGGTGCCCTTCCCCGAACCGGGCCCGCCTGCAAGTGCCCACCCATTCAGAAGTCCCAAGAAACGGGACCCCTGCAGGGACGGGGGTGTCTGCCCGGGTCACCCAGCGAGGAGGGGGGCAGAGCCCAGGGTGCCCCCCAGGCCCAGGCTCCCACCGGGAGACCTTTGAAGCCGCGCCCTTCTCGCTGCCTCACCCGCCGGCCTTGGACTCACCCACCACAAAGATGATCTTGGTTTTCTTCAGCTTCTCTGTGGGAGAGAAGAGGGGAGCGGAGCTCAAGTGAGTCACTGGACAAGGAGCCAGAGGCACCTCTGAGGTCCTAGGCCTGTAGCTGAGCCCCAGGAAGAGGGACAGACACTGCTCATCACCGCATCAGAGAGGCACATGAAGCAGCCCAGAGCGAGGGATATGGGGCGAGGGAAACACAGAGACTGGAACAGGCCGGGGAGGTGAGGATGATCCAGGCGGAGAGACACACAGGGACCAAGGCCTGGAAGTCACAGGCTCAGCACAGGCCGTGAGGGGGACGCTGAGGGCCTCGGACGCCCACCCTCATGGCCCCTCCCTGTGGGCAGCTGGACCAAGGTGTCGGGTCACCTCTGGCTCTAGAGTCTTCCATGATGCGGGGGTCTGTCGCCGAGCAGCAGACCCCCATGGTCCTGGTCTGCTGTGTCCCCCAGCCTCCCCCTTCAGGCTCTGGGCCTGCCCATCGCCTGCCTCCCCTAGGCGGTACCAGTGTGGAGTTGGCAACCACAACATACGTTGCCCTGGAGACGGTTGCCGGGGAAGAGGGCTGCGGTGGGCACATGGAACCCTTGCTTAGAGAGGGCGGGAGGGAGCTTGCGTTTCAACCTCTGCCTTGAACTCAGCCAGACGGCAGCTCCACCATACAGAAGGGACCGAGGCCTGGAGGCAGGCGCCTGCTGGAACTGGGATGGGGGCCTCTTCCCAAGCTGCCCAGCCTTCCCCGCTTCTCAGGGAAGTAGGAGCTCTCTGTGTGCCAAGGGGGAGGTGAGCTTGGCAAGCTCCTGGGGGTCTTGAGGAGCTGCTAGAAGAATGACTTCTGTGGGCTTCCATCGTCTGCGGCCATGTGAAAGGGCACAAGCCCGGGCATGGGGGGTGGCCACAGCCCAGCGGGACCTATGTTCAGAGCCCTGGGGGTGGAAGGATGACTGCCAGCCTCAGGCGGCGGCAGCAGCCGGGCCCACTGGGCTCCTTTAAGAGCCACCCGGGCCGGGACCCAGCGCTGGGGATGGGACGGGTGGTGCCGCCAGGAGGCAGGCCAGCTGGGCGCTCTGCCCACGTCTCCCTGCAGGACCCAGCCCGCAGGAGCCAGGAGGGCCCAAGACATGCTGAAGACTCAACCCCACTGGTATGGGAGAGGGGTAGGAGCGTGCCCTTGTTTGCCTTGGCATTTGCACGCTTGGGGCCTCTCTGCAGGGCAGGCCTTCCCTCATCAGCACTGTGCCCCTCTCCAGAAAGAGACAGAGATTCAGCTCTATAAATACCAGTGTAGGAGGTGAGCTATGGGGCCCTGAGAAGCCTCAGGAAGCCTCATTCCTTCTAAAATTAATCTTGGAGCTGGTACATCCCGCGAGAAGCCCGAGAAAGATGCCGGAGGCCCCCAGACAGGTCCTTCCAGCAGCTCCAGAGCTACCTCCAAACCATCCCCGCATGTCTCCTGAAAGCACACCCCTTTAACAGATGGGCACACTGAGGCCCAGGCTGTGAGCGGGTAAGGAGAGGCACTTCCCTACCTTCCATCCTGCCGTGATCCGGGCAGCCAAGTCAGCGCTCTGCAAGACAAGGGCACAAGCAGCCGAGTGAGGGGGGTTTCTTGGACATCCAGCCTCTGCCCCCAGCCAGCCCCCGCCCCCAGCCAGCCCCCCAAGGTGGGGGCCAGACCCTGGCCTGGTCTTCTGAGGGTGGAGGGGCCGCTGGGGGCAGGGGAGGCCCAGGAGGCTGGGAGATCTTAGCAAAGTCACCTTTCCCTTGGGGTGCCTCCACTGCCTCACCTGTCGCACGCAGGGTGGGCAGCAGCCCCTCCTGCCCACCCAAGAGCGAGGTTGACAGCCAGAGGCGTAAACAGAGGCTCCTGCAACTGCTGAACTGTTTCCCTCCCAAGTCCCAGAAAACAGGCCCTGGGTCTTGCGTCTGCCTGACACCTTGACAACACTCCCCAGAGCGGGAGGAAAGCCCAGGAGGCAGGAAGGTGTCCTCATCTAGAAGGGGTTCGGACCAGGATGCTCGAAGGGACACAGAGGCCAAAGGGAAGAGAGCTGCGGGTCTGTACTTGGTCCACAGCCTGCGTGCTTCTCAACTGAGCAGGTCCCCTGGCTTCCGCCCCGTAATGTTGCACCCAACACCTGAATGCCCTTCCCCAAAGAGCTATTGTTGAGGACTCAGTTCAGGTGCCACCTCCTTCAGGAGGCCTTCCTGGACTTTGCCCTCCACTCCCATACTGGCAGGTGACCAGCCTCCAGCTTCGCACACACCATGCTATGCTGGGCCTCTCTGCTGTTCTGCAGCAGAGTTGGGTGGAAGGCCCAACTTCCACCCCGACATGGCCCCTGCCACCTCCCTGCCTGAGGACCTTGCACCCCTTTCCCCTCAGCTTGTCAGTCAAGCCCAGTGCCTCTTGGGATCCCACCCCTCTGCATCCACAGCTCAGAGGTCTCCCTCCCTCTCCCCTTCCCATCAGTCTCTCTGGAGTTGCCACAACACATCTGTGGCTCCCACTTCTTCACTCCTCATCCCCCAGCCCTCCCCAAGGCTCCCAGAAACCACCACACACCCTTTTGCCTTAACCTTTGACCCCAAAGCCTGGGTCAGCATTCCTTCTGCCTGGGACCTCTGCCCGGTGTCCCTACTCTGCCCTCTCACTGTTGGCCCCAGGTTCCCTGGACCCTCATTTCTGCCCAGCCAGCCCAGGCCTCTCTCCCCAGCCTCCCACAAACACAGCCCCTGGACAGACCCAGAGACCCCAGAGACCCCCAGCCTCTAAATAGCCCTTACATCATCCAAAGCTACGTGCTCTATCACCCAGCCAGAGGCCCTGGTCAGTGTGAACACCCTTCTCCCCACCCACCTCCACCCCACACAAGCACGTCCCAGCCCTCTCACTCCAGAATTTCCCTCCAGGCTGTATCCTCACCGCCACTTCCTTGTTCCAAGCAGGGAAACTAGCCACTGCCCGGCTTCCCATAGGCCTCCCCACCTCCACACCCCACCAGGCAACCTGCAGTATTTTCTCTGACAAGCATCAAATCACATCCTTGCCTGCTTAAAACACTTCCACCTGGGGCCCCCTCCATCCCCCAAATAAACCCTAACATAGCTGATCCAGCCCAGCAATCTAGTCCCCTTGAGAACCCTCCCCTGGAGGCCACTGCCTGAACTGCTTGGAGCTCCCTCACTCGCCACTATCGTGTCCCACCTGCAGGTCCCAGCTAATGTTGCACCCAACACCTGAATGCCCTTCCCCAAGAAGCTATTGTTGAGGACTCAGTTCAGGTCCCACCTCCTTCAGGAAGCCTTCCTAGACTCTGCTCTCCACTCCCACACGGGCAGGTGACCGGCCTCCAGCATCTCACACACCACACTGACTGTAGGCCTGTATCCCACCCCTCCGGGCCTGGCCCTGGCAGAGCATGGGGCTGGGGGCCTCACTCCATCCGCACAGCTGTCTTGGGAGGGAAGTGAGGCTTGGGGAGGAGGAGAGACCTGCCCCAGGGCCTGGCTGGGGTCACACTGGGGGCGGCGTTTTCTGCTACCCTGGGCCTGGCATCTGCTAGGTTCTTCAGCAGCTTGCTGACCGTCCCACCCCCCGTGGGGTATGAGCTATAGCCTTTTTCCTGCTGAGTGTGCTGAAGGAAGGCTAAGAGCTGCCAGTGGCCCTCTGCCGCTGGTGGGGGAGGGAGAGGGTCCCCTGGCCAGGGACAGCCTGCAGCGACGCCCCGAGGAGTGGCCTGGACCCCAACCCACCCCGCCCCACCCCCTCCTGGTAACCTAAGCCCCTCTGCCCTGCTGGCACCTGCCGCTTCTTGGTCCAAAATAACTTGGGTTGTGAGGAGTCCTCACAGAGGCCAAGGGTCTAGGGCAGAGTTGGGTTACGGGCCCAGCACCCAGGCCTTATAAGGCCCCCGGGGCAGGACCACGGCAACTCCTCACATGACTGGGTAGTCTGCTGAGGGGCCCGGGAGGCCAAGACCCGAAAGGACCACGACTTCACCTCAATCACAAGGCAAGGCCAGGGCAAGAGCCAGGCCTCCCGGCTCCTGACCAGATGCAGCCTTCTCAGTGGTTGGCGACTGGCTAGGGTTCAAGTCCCAACTCTTATCACTCAGCTGTGTGACCTTGGGCAGCTGGGGTCCCCTCTCTGGGCGCGAACCCCCAAGCCCAGTCCAGCTGCTGCTGGAGGGTCCCAGGTAGGCAGCTGAATGGCGCTCAGGAAAGGCCCCACGGGCTGGCTCAGGGCTCCCTCCGAACCCCTGCCCTTTCAGGAGGCTGGGGCAGGGGGCCAAACATCCAGGGGGCTTCCCGTCCCCCCAGCACTAAAAATGACATGACAGGGTAGCTCCTCCCAACACCTAGGCTGACCCCTCCCAGGTCCTGGGGCAGGGAGCCCAGCCACAGCTCCCCTCCCAGGTCCCCAGCTGAGACGGGCCAAGGGCAGGGACCCGGAGCCCCAGGAGTGCCAGCGGGACAAAGGGGTGACTGTCACGGGGGCCGGGAGGGAGAACACCACACATACACACACCCCCAACCACAGGACACACACAGTGTGGCACAGACACCTAGCGCAGAGCCTGGGGAATACCGCCAGGCAGATACTCACAGATCACAAGCTGGGATAGGAGCACAGCCACAGGAAGCCCGAGGAGACCCCGACACGCACAGACACGCAGTCCCCCCAGGTGCGTGCAACTTCCCCATTCCCGCAGGGGCGCCCCCCAACACACGTGCACAAGCGCACACACGGGCACACACTGACCTGGGGGAAGGGTGAGGGTGGGCACAGGGGCCAGTGCGTGCCCTGCCTGTCCTCGCCAGCCGCCCGCAGAGGCGACTATTTATAAGGCTGTCAGCGGCGCGCGGCATGCCGGGAGCCAGCGCTCCGCGAAGGCAGGGAGGGAGGGAGGGAAGGAGAGCAACCGGGAAGGGAGGGAGCACTGGACCGGAGCGGAGCCCTGATGGGAAGCCAGGCCAGGCACCCCCAGGTGGCCTGCCTGCACACGCTTACAGCACTTTACAGCTTCCCGAAGGTTTTTCATTCCTCTGTTGTTTCCACTGTACCTGCATCACTCCAGGGGGACCGGACCGGGCTTCTTCTCTGACCGCTGGGGAAGCTGACGCCCAGCGAGGAGAGGCTCTTTGCACAAAATCCCACAGCAAACCGATGGCAGAGAGAGAGGCCAGAACCAGGGGTGGAGGGGACCAAAGTATGTGTTCTGCTGTCCAGACAAGCCCCCAGCCCCTCCCGAAGTCTCTGGGCCAATAGCCACCCAGAATTCCTCCTCCTCTGTTGGAAGGGACCCCAAGGGCTTCTCTGGGACTGTGACTCCCCAGAACTCCGAAGATCACCTACATAGCCATCTCCCAGCCGGTGGCTGTGTGCGTGTGCGCGCGCTCAATTGTGTCCAACTCTCTAACCCCAGGGACTGTAGCCCGCCAGCCCCCTCTGTCCATGGGATTTTCCAGGTAAGAACACTGGAGTGGGTTGCCATTCCCCTCTCCAGGGGATCTTCCTGACCCAGAGAATGAATCTGCGTCTTCTGCTTGGCAGGCAGAGCCAGTGATAGTGTAGAAGATTATTAAAAAAAAAAAAAACAGCCCTGCCTCAATGCAGCTGCCAGGCAGTTCCCAGTGAGGCCAGCTTGAGGATGTGGGACATTAAGAATGCTGTGGGCACAAATGGGACTGACAGTCCTGATACAAAGAACAGCTCCCATTAATGAGGCTCACGATGCACCAGGTGCTGGGCAGAGCACTGGACTCAGACCATGTCTGCAGTCCTTAAACACAAAGAAGGAAAGTGAGGGTCACAGCTATAAAAGAGCTTGCCCGGGGTTCTCAGGTAGAGAGCAAAGTATTTACCCAGCATTTTTCATGAGATAGGCACATAGCAATAGTTGCTCAATGAAGTAGCAGAGCAGAGATGAGAGCCTAGGACCACGTAGCTTCAGAACTCATGCACTTGACAGGTAGACCATATCACGACCCTGAAGGCAGCAGCCCCAGATGGTAGAGCGGGTTGAATCTGGAACTTGTCTTGCAGGCATTAGGGAGCCATGAAAGGTGTTTAAGTGAGAGGGTAAGACTCTCAGGAGAGTGAGGCCACCTTAGATGGGTGGCTTCTTTTTAGCAATAATAGCAGCCTGGATACCAGGAGGCTTCTTGGATCTAATCCCAACACTGCCACCTGTGACATCAGACAAGGTTCTTACTCATTGGGATATTAGCTTCCCAGTCTGTGGGAGGGGTGAGTCGTGGGTCAGAGAGTCTGCCCTAGAAATTGTTTGAAAGGCCCTCTTGAAAGCTGTAGGTGGTTGTGTGCATGGGCGCAACCTTTGGGGAAAGCAAATTGATGATGCCAATCATCAGTGTGACTCTCTGCTCTTAGGAATCCCACAAGCGGGCACAGAACGTGCACTAGTGCCGGTGCAGACCAACTGAGGGGAGGGGCAGTGGTATGGACAGTCAGGGTGGAGAGCTGGCAACCGCCCTGGAGTTAGCGAAAGAAGGGAAGCTGGAGGGCTATGGAGCTAGTGGGGCGAGAGGAAGAGGCTAAGGGCCCAACTGCATTGATCTTATCTCACCTGAGTGAAAACAATTCTAAACATGTGTGTGTGTGGTGTAAAATCTAGCCCTAGAATTTTTTTCTCCATTTTAACATCTCTGAAGTTGGTTTTGCTTGTTTTATATTTATTTGTTAGGCTGTGCCGGGTCTTAGTGGTGGCACCTGGGGTCTTCGATCTTTGCTGCTGCACACAGGGTCTTTAGCTGCTGCATGTGAACTCTGAGTTGTGGCAAGAGAGATCTCGTTCCCTGACCAGCAATCGACCCTGGATGCCCTGCATTGGAAGTGTGGAGTCTTAGCCACTGGACCACCAGGGAAGTCATTGAAATAATTTTGTCTAATAATTGAATCAATGGTATCTTTTTTCAACTTATTTCTTTAATATTTATTTATTTGACTTTGCTAGGTCTTATTTTCGGCCCATGGGATCTTTGCTCTTTAGCTGTGGCATGCAAACTCTTAGTTGCAGCAGGTGAGATCTAGTCCCCTAATCAGGGATCGAACCTGGGCCCCCTGCATTGGGAGCACGGAGTCTCAGACACATAACCACCAGGGAAGTCCCTGAAATAGCTTTGTCTTATAATCAAATCAATGGTATCTTAAAGTTGATGAGCTAAAGTAAAACAGAGAGAGCAAGTGTGGGCACAAGATCCCCTGAGTAAAGGCGGGACTTTCACTTTTGCTTTAAAGGCTTCGCCACGCATTTCTTAAATACAACAAGCATCTATAGATGTACCTTGAAGACATTAGGCTAAGTGAAATAAGCCAATCACAAAAAGACAAATATTGTATGATTCTATTTATACAAAGGATCTCAAGCAGTCAAATTTGTAGAAACAGAAAGTAAGAGTGATGGTTACCAGAGGCAGAGGGGAAGGGGAAATTCTGAGCATTTGTTTAATAGGTTTAGAGTTTCAGATATGCAAGATGAAAAAGTTCTGGGGTCTGTTTCACAATGGAAAAAAAAGCAATGTAAATATACTTAATACTACTAAACTGTGCACTTAAAAAAGGGTAAGTGGTAAATCTTATGTGGTTTTTTTTTTTACCACAATAAAAAAATTTTTGAAATCTTACAGACTGACTGAACAAAAAATATATTAGGCATCTGTTTTCATTAATTCCTTTGTATATGATCTATGGGTTTTCCATCAGTACTGTGTTATTAAAGTTTCAGGATTTTTTTTTTTTCCCAGCTACAATCTAAAGAAAGAAAAAAAAGAGAGAGAAAGAAGACAGGAGAAAGGGAGGGAAGCAGGGGAGAACTAGGGAAGGAGAAAAAGGAAGGGAGGGAGGGAGGGAAATGAAAAAGGTACATGGAAGAAAAATCTGGAAGGTTAGACTGTCACCAGGGAACAGAACTGGGTGACCCCCTTGCTTTCTATCTTACAGTGTTTGTATGTTATGTTAGTTGCTCAGTTGTGTCCAACTCTGCAACATCATGGACTATAGTCTGCCAGGCTCCTGTGTCCGTGGGTTTCTCCAGGCAAGAATACTGAAGTGGGTTGCCATTTCCTTCTCCATAGTATCTTCCTGGTCCAGAGATCAAACCTGGGCCTCCTGCACTGCAGGCAGATTCTTTACCATCTGAGACACCAGGGAAACCCATCATGTTTGTATAGTTCAAGTTATTTTAAAACATAAAAAAATACCTAAAATATAACCATACAGAAAGAAACCAATTTAAAAAAATGTTTTTGAAAATACTCTAGCTAAGAAAGAATTCCAATGAGCTGGCATCAGGGGATACATCTGAGGCGGCCCCTCTGAGGTGCACAGCTGGATCCACGCGTCCGGCACATGGGGCTGGGCTATGGAGCTGCCCCAGGCGGGTCTGGCTGGACAGCAGGGCATCTGCAGGAAACAGCTGGAGTGGCTGCTTCAGGCAGCACATGTGAGGTTGGCAGCGGGTGGGAGATGCCCCCTCCCCCGAGGAGGGGTGAGGGGTATGGGTACCTCACAGGGGTACCCGGGTAAAAGGGTTCACGGGAGGGCCCTGAACCCCCAACTAGGAGGCGGGCTTGGTCCTGACCGCGGTGGGAAGCCAGTGAAGGTTTCAGAGCAAAGCTGGCCATGATGAGGTGGCTTCAGGAAGCTAAGTTTGGCCAAGGGTGGCCCCGTCTCGGTTGGGTCTGTTCTGAGGAAGTAGGAGCATGAGGGGGCGGTTGAGGACTAGACCCCAGGCCTCCTGCTCTCAACATCTTCCATCAAAGTCCTGCTTGCTAATTCTGAACTGGTTCCCCCCGCCAGGCTTCCATTCGGGCCCTTCTTCCCTCCTGACATCCCCTCCCTCATCAGTTGCGCCTAACACAGCACAGGGCACATGGCTACCGACTGAGTGAATACACCTGTGAGCCAAGCCAAAGGCGGGGCCATTCTCGCCTCCGGCCAGCTCCGTGGGCCCCATCCCGCTGGCGCGGTGCCCAGGAGAACTCGTTTCCGTCCCCTTGTCTCACAGTCTCCCTTTGTTAGGCGTCTGCTCCCAAGGGCATCTTATCTGATTAAACAGGTTGTAATCTCCCAGAGTCACGGACCCCCTACCTCCTGCCAACCTGGAGTAAACAAGCCCTTTAGCTGAGAGGTTGGAGGGGTCCACAGCTCACACACCTGGCCAGGGCTGCAGCCCGGCCTGACTCCCTCCTGTTCAGGCCTGCAGGATACTCCGGCTCCCTCCCTGGGCACCACCCCCCACCCTTCCCACCCTGCTTACAGCCAACCTCTAACCCCACTGCCTGCCTCTCCCCATCAACCTCCTCCATCCCATCCCCCGTGCTTCTGGGACAGAAATGTCATCCTCTCCCACCCCGTTCTCTTCCTGTGGGACGCTCTTCCCCTCCAAACCTCTGCAGGAAGCGTCCTCAGGAAGAGCGTCACCTCCACAGCTGCAGCGCCCCATGCAGCCCTCACTGCCCTGAACCTGCCTCGGGCCCCTCCCCTCCCTTGATCCTGACCTCCTTGAGAGCAGGGTCTGGTTTCAGCCCAGAGGGAGCTGGGGTTCTGAGAGGGGGAGTGACTTGCTTAAGGTAACACTGGCAGGGGGAGGTCAGACTGGCAGAGCCAGGTGAGTTTGGCTCCGGAAGCCCTTGCACCCCCAGCCCCCAGGGCCACCAGGTCTCCACCCAGGCTGTAAAATGCATGATTCACAAAGAAGCCGGCCATTCTGTTGGAGTGCGGGCTCCTAGCCTGGAACGTGTGGGCCCCAAGTACTGGGCCAGAGAGACAGCTAGAACTCAGACACAGGAAATGGGGCTGGAGCTTAGGTGCATTTATTTCTGTACAAATCATTACAAAATCAAGTCTAGGGTAGTCACCGGCCCCCAACCCTTGCCCCAAAGTGCAATGACTCACTGCTGGCCTCCTTCCCCACCTGACCCTGCCCATTCCACGGCCTCCTCCAGGAAGCCCTCCAGTCTCTTCCCTTCAAGACTCCAGAAGAGCTGGGGGGTAAATCCAGCCCACTGAGGCCCAGCAATAAAGTGCCTGATGTAGAGGGAGGTGACAGAACTTAGGCGACAGCTCCCAGGCCTCTAGAGCCTTCCCAGGCCCAGGCAGGGGAAGGTCCTTGGACTACTCTAGCAGCTGCAAACAACAGGGCTTCGGGAAACCTCAGGTGGGCTGGGATCCCCCCTCCTCTCAGCCCCAAAGTCTCCTCCAACAGATGGAAAACCTCATGGCTGGATGGCAGAAACAGGGGCCTGGCTCTTTAAGAGCCAGGCTAATGGCAGCTGGGCAGAGGGGCTAAGAAAACAACTGAAGGTTTGTCCCTTCTTTTCAGAGTTCCCTAAAGCCTGAGGAAGTTGCACAAAAATACCCTCAAGTTTCCAGGAGGAGGTGAGGAAGGGAACCCCAGACCCTCAGGAAGCTGAGCCCCCCAGCAAGGGGCGGGGGCTGGAAGTGTCCAGTCTTAAAGGAGGACAGACCCAAGGTGGTCAGTGGGGGGAGGTGGGAGGGTTCTCAGACTCTACAATTAGAACCTGACACAGGCAGAAGGCGGCCCAGAGACGGGGCAAGGGGTTTGTTCGAGGCCACTCAGGGCAGAGGCAAGACCCAGATACCAGTCTCCCACCCTGGAGAGCCCCTGAACCCAACCCAACCTCTCTCTAGCTCTGGAAAGTGAGGAGGCGGCTCCCTGGAACAGGACCCCACCATCCCCATCAATAGGAAGTGATTTGGGGTCCATCCTGGGGTTCTGAACCAAGGCCTCATGGGAAAGGACATGACCTTAGCTTCAGATTCCTCAGAAATACCCTGACTGACTATGCTCAGACCCTGACTGGACAAAAAATACCCTCAACACCCGATTAACCACATAGAAGCTCAAATCCTTGATTGGCCAAGAGATTCCCCCAGGTCCTGGATGGCTGGAGGATGCACCCTCTTCAAGGCCTGACCAGCCAGAAGACACTCTGACCAGCCTTGATTGGCCAGGAGATGGCCCTGGGTCAAGCAGCTGGGCAGAGACCCACTTCTCCTGTGTCCCTCGTGAGAGCCGCACAGCCGGGTGGCCTAGGTCCAGGAGGGGTGGGAGAAGGTGATTCCGTACAGCTGGGCCCAGGACGAGAAGACCCTCTTCTCCGTGATGAAGCGGTGGTGGTTGCCCTTGCGGCTGTTCTCGTTCTGGATGTAGGTGACACACTCGTCTGGCCCCTTGGGCTCATAGTAGTGGTAGGGCATACGCTGCAGGTGGGGCCGCAGGCTGGGGCAGAGCAGAGGGGGCCGTAAGGGCAAGGTGGGCACTGGCCGGATCCTGCCCTTCCCAGCCCCTGACCTTCTGTCGAGCCTCAGTGGGGGAAATCCCCGCCCCCTCCCTGGGCCTCAGTTTCCCCATCTGTGAAATGGACATAGTGTAGACTAGGTGTGTGACTCTCAAACTTTTTTTTTTAAATCTATTTGGCTGCATCAGGTCTTAGTTGTGGCAAAAGAACTTATGTGGACTCTTCCCAGACCAGGGAGTGAACCCCATGTGCCCTGCATTGCAAGGCTGAATCTTTACTACTGAGCCACCAGGGAAGTCCTCAAATTTTTATTTTTTTTTAATGCAGTGGAAACTTCCTTTTCCCCAGAGGGCGGCAATGTGGGATAGTGGTAAGGACCATGGGCTCTGAAGCCTGGCCCCCACCCCTTACTGTTCCTGGGAACTGAGGCCATTCACAAAACATCCTCCTCTTATCCCTTATGGTCACTATAAGGAGTAAATGAGATAATAAAAAGCTATGTTTGGTACACAGTCAGCACTTAGAACAGCTGTCACCTACTGGGCTTTTCATATAGTAATAATAAAAATAGTTATTAATATATAAACTCTGGACTCCGGCTGAGCTTGGGATGGAAGCCCCTGAGGTAGCTCTGAAGAGCCTAGATCTCTGCAGAGCAGTTTGAATACTATAAAATAGAGGCCCTCAAAGGCATCCCAGCCAAGGTCTTCAGGACCCCCGCTCCACCCTGAGGCCAACAGCTGGATATCGCCCTGGGAGTGCTCACCTGCAGTAGTCGGGGGGCACCATGCCATAGACGTGCACGTGGTCACACAACTCCACCGCAATCACCATGGTGAACCAGCCTGTGCTCAACCACGAGTGGGACTTTTCCCTGGGGGCAGAGAAGTGTCACGATGAGGGGGTGTGCAGGTGGCGGTGGGGCGGGCAGGGAAAAGGGCCCACCCACCCAGAGTTTCCCAGAACTCCTCCCATTCTGCCCCCTCCTGGGGCTCTCCTCCCGTGTCAGTCACCCCCTGTCCAGCCCTGCTGCGGGAGCGCGGACAAGTCTGAACAGAGATGAGGCGTGGAGGGAGGGCTCCTTTGAGGGGAAGAACAGGAACACAATATGCTGGGAATTAACTCCTGGGGAGCCTGGTCACCCTCGGGCAGGCTGGGAGTGACCCTGACCACAGAGCATGGTAGGCGGAAACACCTGCGCACATGCTAGGCACCAACTCCAAAGGAGAGACTAACCAGCGGAGGTCCTGCCAAGAGTGACAAGTGACAAGTTCAGAGCGAGGCATGGGATGAGCAACCAAGAACCTCAGGCTGTACTGCCCACCAGAACAGCCACCAGCCACACGCAGGCACATGTGAGCACTTGACATGTGGTTAAGATGTGCTGTCAGTGTAAAATACACACTTTATTCCTTAGCATGAAAAAAAGAATGTAGAATATGTCACTGATAACTTTTGACACTGTTTACTTGTTGAACTGAAAATATTTAGGGTATATTTGATTGAGGGGGGTTCTTTGAAAAGTTTAAGAAAAAATAAACTTCTACAAGATTGACAGAAAGAAAAGACACAAATTAACCAATATCAAGAATAAAAAAGGAGGATTCATCATAGGCCTTGTAGACATTAAAAGAACAATACGAAAACTGTAAAAAACAATGTACATGAATTTGATAATTTAGATGAAATGGGCCAATTCCTTAAAACCACAAACTGCCAAAACTCAAGATGAAATAGATAACCTGAATATCCTATAACTCTTAAAGAAATTAAAAATCTTCTGAAAAGGAACTCTCCAGGCCAAGAGTTTCACTGGCAAATTCTACCAAACATTTAAAGAAGAAATAAAATCAATTCTATATAATCTCTTCCAGAAAATAGAAGGAAAACATTTCCCAATTCACTTTCTGAGGCCAGCATTACTCTGATACCAAAATGAGGCAAAGACAGTACAAAATAAACTACAGACCAATATCTCTCATGAGCACAGATACAAAAATCTCAACAAAATATTGCAAATCATATCCAGCAATATATAAAAAGAATGACACCCACAACCAAGCAGAGTTTATTTCAGAAATGCAAGACTGATTCAATATATAAAAATCAATCAATATAATCCATCATTTTAATAGCCTTAAGAAAAACCATGTGATATCAATTGATGCATAAAAAACATTTGATAAATCCAATACCCAGTAATGACTTAAAAAAAAAATGCTTTTAGCAGAACTTCCCTGGAGGTCTAGTGGTTAAGACTCCATTCTCCCAAAACAAGGGGCAAAGATTTCATCCCTGGTTGGGGAACCAAGATCTCGCATGCTGCATAGCATGGCTTAAAAAAAAAAATCACCAAGAACCAAAACAAACAAAAAAGTCTCAGCAAACCAGTAAGAGAAGGAAACTTCCTCAACCTGATAACTTCCTCAACCCATAGCTTCAAAAACCTACAACCAACACCATATTCAATGATGAAAGACTGAGCACTTTGCCCCTAAGACTGAGACCAAGGCAAGGATGTCCACTCTCGCCACTTCTAAAACAATTCGGTGTTATACTGAAAGTACTAGCCAGTGCAATAATGCAGGAAAAAGAAATAAAAGGCATACAGATTGGAAACAAAAAATAAAACTGTCCTTCTATGCATGTTGCTACATCATGATCATTTGCACAGAAAATCCAAAGAATCTACAAAAGTCTCCTTGAACCAATAAGTAAGTTTAGGAAGATTACTGGATATAAGGTCAACACAAAAAAATCAGTCATATTTCTATAAGCTAGCAATGAATAATGGGAAACCCATCAAAACTCTAATACTATGTACAATAGTTCTAAAAATTTTTAATATTTAGGTATAAATCAAACAAAATATGTATAGGACCTATATGTTGGACATATCAAGTTGAATAAAAGTGAATTGAATTTCACCTGTTTCTTTTTACTTTTTAAATGTGGCTACTCTAAAAATTTAAATTACCTATGTGGCTCGCATGATATTTCTTTTCTTTCTTTCTTTCTTTATTTTTTTCGCATGATATTTCTATTAGACAGCACTGACCTAGCTTTTTTTTTTTTTTGGCCTAGCTTTTTTTTTTTTGGCCTAACTTTTCTAGAGAGATCAGTCAGAGCAGCACATACCAGGGTGATGTATCCTTAGAAGAGATATGCTGGGAATGGTCAACACTTTCCATGAGGCATGCTACGGGAGGGCTGTCCTAGAAAGATGCTAGGAGTGATGATACAACCTTAGAGCAAAGCATGTTGGGAGCCCTTGTCCTCTGGGAGCACTGCAAGCCCTCCCAGGGAGATGAAGCCAGGCAGAGCATGTTGGAAATGACACAGACTAAGAGCTGGACATGAAGCGAACTCCCCTAGGAAACCTGACCAAGAAAAGGTGGCAAGAAGTGACCACACCCTCAGAGCAGTGCATGCTGGGAGCAACAGGCCCTCCAGGCAGAGCACGCTGAGAGGGAGCACAGGGCTGGCCGGAGGGAGCGGGCAGGAGGTTGGTACCTGTCCCTGCCTGTCTCACTCCGGAAGAGGTCGTCAAACTGGCGCATGCGGCTGAGGGAGATGGCATAGGCCTCCATGTTGGGGAACAGCAGGCCTGCCCGCTGGATGATGCGCACCAGGCTGCCCTGGGGCTTCTGCATCTTGTTTGGGGGGCCCCAGAAGATGAACACAGTTTCAGGGGTCCGGTTGACAAACTCCTGAGGCTTCCGCAGCACATGGAATACGCTGGAATGGGCCACCACGCGGAAGGTGGTCTTGTTGCCCACATCAGCCGAATAGCCCGTAGTGGGTGCGTCGTTCATGCGGATTGTGCACTCGGCCCGCTCGATCTCAGGACCCAGCTTGGTGCCCAGCAGGTGGCTGGAGCTGGTGACAATCACACACTGGCCACACCTGGAGGGCAGCATCTGGGGGGTTAAGGAAAGCCAACACTGTTATGACCACTCGGTGCCAGACACTGTGCTCCATACACCCAGGCCTCCAGGAGGCAGGAATTATGATGCCCATTTTAAAGACAGGGAAATTGAGCCGTATTCATTCAACATTCAACAGATATTTATAGCAAGCTTGCTAATGGCCAACTACAAGAGACAGAGCAATAAACAAGAGACCCCACTCCTGCCTTTTAAGAAATTCACGGTTGGGGAGACAGATGGTGAACAAGTAAACGATAAAATAATGCCAGGTGGTAAGTTATATGTGCTGGGAAGGAAATAAAATAGGGGCAGAGGATCAAGACTGGCAGGAGTGAGGGCTATGCTAGAAAAGTCATCTGAGGGGGCCTCTCTCAGCTAACACCTGAAGGATGAAAAGAAACCATGCAGGACAGCCATGCTGGGATGTCCCCAAGGTCACAGAGCAGAGGAGTGCAGGGTCAGGATCTGAACCTAGGTCTACATGGCCACAGAGCCCCAGCTTCACCCTCAGGCCAGCTCTTCAAAGAGACATCCTCCCCAATGTATCCATGACATTTCCACATCACCCACAAACAGGCCATCAACTTGTCAGTAGGAAATGGTGTGGAAGCTGCTTTGAGCCTCTGTTTTCCCATTGGTGCAGTGAACAGATTGGAACCACAAGCCATCTGAAGCCTCTTTTCTGACCATGGATTTTCTGTGCACCCTTCAAGGCTAAGTTCAGGTGCCACCTTCTCCAGGCAGCCTTCCCTGAGGCCTTACTCCAAGATCCAGCAACATGTCTCATGTTTAATACCTCAACTGATGGCTTTGCCAGCTTTCCTGAGCTCTACCATCCTGGCCTCCCCGATCAGGCTAGAAACAGCTGCTGGCCAAGCTCTGTCTCATTCCCTTCTACATCACCCACCCTCAAGCAGTTCCACTTTCTTCCAGGGATTCTATCATTTTAATTTCTCTTTCAAGGATCCTTAGGGTAAAGAAAGTCTCAGTTAGGTGTTAATCTGTCTCTCGTGTCGCGTGTCCGTGCTCAGTCGCTCAGTTGTGTCTAACTCTTTGCTATCTTGTAGACTGCAGCGCTAGGCGCCTCTGTTCGCAGAATTCTCCAGGCAAGAATACTAGAGCAGGTTGCCATGCCCTCCCCCAGGGGAATCTTCCTGACCCAAGGTTTGAACCCCGGTCTCCTGCACTGCAGACAGATTATTTTCCACTGAGCCAATGGGAAAGCCCTTAATCTGCCTCTGTGTGTGTGTTCAGTCACTTCAGTTGTGTTCAACTCTTTGTGACCCTATGGACTGCAGCCTGCTAGGCTCCTCTCTCTATGGAATTTCCCAGGCAAGAATACCGAAGTGGGTTGCCATTTCCTCCTTCAGTGGATCTTCCCGACCCAAGGCTTGAACCCACATCTCCTGCATTGCAGGCAGATTCTTACCACTGAGCAATTGGAGAAGCCCTTAATCGGTCTCTTGTGCTTAGTCACTCAGTCGTGTCTGACTCTTTTCAATCCCATGAACTGTAGCCCACCAGGCTCCTCTGTCCATGGGGATTCTCCAGGCAAGAATACTGGAGTGAGTTGCCATGCCCTCCTCTAGGGAATCTTCCCGACCCAGGGATCAAACCCAGGTCTCCCACATTGCAGGTGGATTCTTACCAGCCGAGCTACCAGGGAAGCCTCTGTCTCTAAACACATGCTAATAGGCCTTTTTCCAGTGAGGTTGAGCTCATGGTCCCAGGCTCTATATGCAAAGACCTCTAGAGATTTAGAAGGGTTAGTGAGGGAAAAGAGAGAGAAAGGCAGGAGCTGGGGGACCTCCTTCTGGAAGGTGGCATCCATGCTTGAGGCCAATAATTTTCTCCCTGACCCCAAGGAAAACACTGGGGCTCAGAGGACTACAAGGTGAACTCCGGAAATACAACGTGAGTTTCATAGTTATCTAAGACAAACAGAAGCCCCAGGAAAGACTCTGGGCCTCTCCACACAGCTATATCCTCACCAGATGTTGGGGCAATACCCAGGTTCCTCCTCACCCTTGCTGTGTGACCTTGGGCAAGTAACTTTGCCTCTCTGAGCCTCAATTTTCCCATCTCGTCAAGGGAGATAATGCTAAACTCACAGCGCTGGTATGAGGATTACTGCTGATTTAGTGGCCAGCACACAACAAGCAATTGACCATTGGCAGCCATTCTTATTATTGCTTTTGTGTTGCCAAGTACCCTAGAGTCCTGCTCCCAAATCCTATGTAGACTCCCCTGAAGAGACCGAGATCTGAAAACCATACAGACCTTTCCAAAGGGGTTCTGATTCAGGAGATTATAGGCTATTAGCACTGAGGGTGGAACCTTGGAGAAAACTGAGGTCCAGAGGACAGGCTGCTTGTCCGAGGTCACATCACAAACAAGGGGCTGAAGGCACTGGACTCCTGGGGTCCACCCTTTTCTTTAGCAGGGATGGAGGAAGTAGAGAGAAGAGGAGGAGGAGAAAAAGAAGGTAGGAGCAGTGCCGGTGGGCAGTGGGGAAGGGCAGTCTCCAGGCAGCTCCCAGGGAGTTCCCAAGAGCGGCTGCCCTACCTTGTTGCCAAGAATGGGGATGTATCCGTCAGTGAGGCTCCACTTCCTGAGGTTGACAGGCCGGCGTGTCCGGCCCTGCAGGGAGCCATAATGAAAGACCTCATTGGCACTGTTGGAGCTGTAGAGGATGAGGATGGTGATGAGGGCAAAGAGGATCACGAACACTGCTGACCGCTGCTCCTGGAGAGGGGAGAGGCCAGTGAGGGCCCAGCCATCCGGCATGGTCCTCACCACCGACCACGCCTGCTAATTCCTGTTTATTCCATCAGTTCAGGCACCACCTCCCCCAGGAAGGCCTCCTCCAACTCCCTGAGCGCTGGCTATCACAGGACCAATCCCACTGCATTCAGATCCCCCTCAATGAAACCATGAGTTCTGAGGGCTGGGACTGAGTCAGCCTTGATCCCCACCATATCTCAGCTCCCAGTGTGGAGCCCAGAAGGTTGGCTGGATCAGATTGGATGTGGCGGTCGCAAGGATCCCTCCAGCTACAGCGAGAAGGATGCTTGGAGACAGATGGGACTTTCAAACGAGAGGGTACAGGTCTTCCCCAGTCAGTCTCCATAAATGTTCATCATTCATTTAACCTGAAGGGAAAGGTTGTGGTCAGAAATCAGGATGCATGGTAGTCGGTACACCAACTTGCGGCAGAAGGCAAGAGAGTGATCTCTGAAGCATCCACTGGGATTTATTGGCCCAGGGTCTGCAAGGCTAGAGGCCCTGGAGTCCTGACTCTTTGTGCTGAGCCCCTTAGGTGGTTATTGACGTACTGCTTCTCAGTTCCAAGTTTACCCTTTTTTGCTTATTCTGTGAAAATGGATCTGGACCCCTTACAAGCTTTTCCTTGCTAGCAAACTTTGTTAGTAGAGGGCACTAGAGATAGATTTCAGGAGGAAGCAAGTTTGCTGCCCAGTTCTGGGGGCTTTGAGCCTGGTTCTGGGCACTTGCTCCTCCAGGGCACATGGCTTCTCCCAGGGGTCAGCAGCTTCCTCCAGCATCCAGCCTCCGGCAGTTTTGAAGCAGAGTGCCCCTAACTCCTTCTGTGACCACAGCTTCTCCAGAGCTGAGCTGATGTGGCACACTCAACCACCAGCAACACCCACAAAAATAAGCTTCACCTTCCCGGAACAGTTCTGCATGATGCTTGAAGTGCCTCCTGGGAGTTACCTCCTGTGAACAGCCTTCCCTGTAGCCTAGCAGGTGGATTTATGACAACTTCCATGGCACAGCATCACCGTGAGCTCTCTGCCATCCACTGGGCCATAGCTCTTATCCCCTCCAGGCCAGTAAGGCCTGAGTCTCAGCTCTGACTGTGGGGGCAGCTGCTTAAAGGGGTATACAGGGCCAGGTACATAGTAGGTGCTCAGGAAAGCATAAATGAATGGATGATGGGGAACCCTGGCACCCTTGGAGTGATGCTCACAACATTATGTCATTTTTGACTCTGACTGCTGCCCCCTCTCCCAGCCTCCCATTCACCTTCACTCCCCTACCCCACCCCCTGCACAGAACTCCGCAGTCACCTTCTCAGCTAATGCTTGACCACAGATGGACCAGTCAGGCCTAGGAGGACAGAAGTGGACCTGGGCCCAGAGAGAGGCAGGACCTTGCTCAGACCACACAGGTCAGTGGCTACAGCAAGGCTTGCACCAGGGTCTCCCACGCATCAGGAGCTTTTCAGCAGGGAAGAGAGACTGGGTGTGAGGCAGGTCCGAAGGCGACCATTTCATGAAGGGAAATTAAGAAGCTGAGATGGGGACAAGAAACAAAAGGTAACTTACTTTGTTGCTCTTCATCTCTCTCCGGCGTCTGCTGAGGGGCAGGGGCCAGTGTCCTGCAGGTGGCCCAGGTAGAGGTGTGGGGTCACACCTGCAAGCCACAGAAAGGGTTATGGTCCAGTTGGTCTTGAGCAACACCTTCCCCACTCCCGCCAGCTCTCCTACCCACCCATGACTCCAAGGCTCAGGGCTGTACTCATTTTCCAGATGAAGACACTGAGGTCGAGAAAGGGCAGGAACTGGTCAGAGGTCATACAGCCAGGTGGTGGCAGAGCCCTGCCTCTCTCCCTGCTGTGCTCTCTCCCACTCTGTGCCAAAGGCAGCTTGCAGGCCAAAGGCTGGCTTCCCTGCTGGGGGTGGGGGGTGAGCTGCTCCTCACTTAGCAGGAGCCCCATTCATACCCCTACTCTAAACCTTGCCTTATGGTCTCGAAGCCTGGGAATACAGCAACATTCCTTGTAGGTCCCCAAACTCAACATTCACACCCTTCCAGGTCCTGCATAAACTGGCCCCTCCAACTGGAACACTCTGCACAACCCTGTTCATGCCCACTCATCCTCCCACCCGGGGTGGGCCAGGAATGTCCCCTGCATGCCACCTTCCAGCTGAGAGCTCTGATGGCACAGCTGGCCCAGGCCTCACTCCCATTCTCTGCTGTGCCTCCAGGGCCCTGGAGATGTGCAGGAGGTCCACTGAGTGATTCCATTCTTTTTTTTTTTTTTTTTGAGTGATTCCATTCTTAACTTGTTTACCCTCGGTTTCGACTTTGTTCATTATTACCTAAGATCTTGACGGTTAAGGGTTCAGACTCATCTATCCAATGGCCATAATCACAGCTCCACCCTGGTGAGGGGGGAGAGGGTCTCAGAGAACCATACACATTCTGCTCCTCACTCTCCAACAGACGCCCCCTACCCCCGCACCCATCTTCGCAGGACGCAGCTTCTCTGCAGCTTTCAATTTCCCCACCTCTCAAAAGGGAGTCAGTACCTGTGTCCAGCCACCTCCAGCAGGTTAGAGACCAGAAGGCACTAAGGGAAAGTGAGAGCGCAAAGAAAGGAACTGGGGTCCAGCACCTCCCTAGCTCGGTCGAAGCTTCCCTCCAGGGGCCTCCCAGCTCCCGCCACTATCTCCGCCCCCTGACCTAGCAGCTGTTTACTCCTACACCGCTACCAGGAATAGCCAAAGAGTCCCAGGCCAAAGGAGGTGTCCCCACACAGCTCCTGATTGGTTAGGTCCTAACTCCGCCCACCACCCAACCCCGCCCTCTCTCTGCAGGCGCCCCCTCCTCCCAAGCCATGTTTCAGGTTTCGCCCGCAGCCGGCCTTCAAAGCCTCCAGTCGGGACTCTCATCAGGTCCAGTCCCGCCGGATCCACAGATCAGGATACAGAGGTTCAACGGAAGGGAACAGCAGCTTGTTGTTAGACTCACAGCCCACTAATGCAAAAGTTATCCAGGATCCCTGGGGAGCCTCCATCTGCCCTGAGGCCTCTAGCATTCCAGCTGCTTCTCCGAGCTGAGCCACCCCTCTCACTACGCTTTCTTTCGGACCCCCCAAGCTCCAGACACCCTAGAACACTCCAGTTCCCAGACCCCCCCCCCCCCACTTTCCCACCTTTGCCTGAGCAGAGCCCTCAGCCAGGACCACTGTCCCCCTGGTCAGCCCCTGTCTCAGTCCCTGCTCTGAGAAGGCCATGGTCAGTACAGCATCTCAGGCTCAACTGCAAATCCGGGTTCCCCCACTTACTGGCTGAGGGGCCTCGGGCAAGCCATGTGACCTCTCTGAGCCTCAGTTTCCTCATCTGTGAAATGGAATGATAAGAGTAGGTAACTCACAAGATTGTTAGAAGGATTCAGGCAGATGTGGCAAGGGAAGCACAGGGATTTGAAAGTGCTTGGTCGGGGCCAGCAGCTGTTAGTTTTCTGGTTATTCATTGTTTAAGGCCTGCCTCTTCAGGAGCTAGCCAAACAATTCTCCCCCACGCTGCCTCTGATGCCTGGCCCAGCAACTTCCCTCTAATATCAATAAATGCTGAGTCCTTGCTAAGCACCACCCACTCACTGAATCTTCCTGGCAATTGTACACAGTAGGGGCTCTCATCCCTATTTCACAGATGAGGAGACTGAGGTTCACAGAGGCAAAGTGCCTTGCAGAGCTGTTCAGAATTTGCTGGGAAGTCTTATTTCCAGGCATGTTTCCAGGCAGCAACCTGGGGATGAGCCTGACCGGATCTCTCTTAAGGATCCCCCAGGGCTGGTACTGACTAGAGGCCACCGGGTGCATGCCCAGCACCTGATTCAGCAGGGATAGCAGGCCTGCTGAGGGGCCACTTCCTCAGGCCAGGGAGGCGGCAGCCCACAGCCCTGAGCCAGGAGCGTGGACTCAGTCCTAAGGAGGCCCGGTCAGAAGGCTGAAACTGTGGGCTAAGGCTGGGGGCCACACCCTGTCCTCTGTTTGGGGGTTTCGCTTTGCCCAGCTCGAGGAGCCCCCCTACACGGTCGGGACGCCCCCACGAGTCGCGTGGGAGGAGATTCCCGGGAGAAGGGGGAGGGGGCTCCTAATTCCAAATGGGGGACGCCGAAACCGTGGGTGCACCTGGGAGGGGGCGACGAGTTCTCTACATCCCGCGTGCGCTGACCCCCCACCCCAAGAACTCCAGCATTCTGGCGGGTAAGGAGCTCTAGCCTCAGCAGGGAAGAAGGGAGGCAGGACGGCGGCAGGGTCCCCGAGCTCGAATGGGGTGTCAGCGGCGGGAGGCCCCGAGAACCCCGCGACAGCCCTTGGTCGCAAGGACCGGGATCTTCAGGCGCGATTGCCAAGAGTGAGTGGGTCTAGGAGTGCCCCCGGTGGCCCCCACATCAATCTCCATCACCAGCGGCTCCCACCCCCACCCCCACCCCCACCAGGGGTGCAGGCGGCGCCCCCTCCCGCAGCCCGCCCCCGCGCGGGGCCTGCTCACCTCCCCCGGGGAGCGCTGGCTCCCCGCGGCCCCCGAGCCCCCTCACATGGCGCCGGGAGCCGAGAGCCGGGGTCCGCGATGCTGTGGCCGCCCAGGCCCCGCCGCAGCCCCGGCCCGCCGGGTCCTAGCGCCGCCGTTCTCCTATCTCCGGCCCAGGCCTGGGAGGCGGGCGGAGCCTCGAGGGGCCACGGGTGGCTCCGCCCCTGGGCGGTGCAGACGGTGATGGGTAAGGGGCAGGTGACCCCCCGCACGGAGCACCCAGGCACATTGCTCACGCCTCTAGGCAGCCTGTAGTGACCAGGGCAGTAACAGCTTTCCGAAGAACCTCTTCTGTGGGTCAGACCCACACCCACTTCACTTTACTGTCCCCACAGCCGGGATGGGGAAACTGAGTCACAAAGCACCCTGCCCTTGGAATCAAGTTTCTCCCTGGGCATCCCTTCCTCGAGCCCCCAGAGCCCTGCACCCAGTAATCACCCTGGGTGAACGCAGGGGTCCACTGTGCAAGTTCAGCTCTGCCAGCTGCTAGCTGTGCGGCCTTGGCACACAACTTGACGCTTCCCCTGCTTTCGAAAAATGGGGCGAACAACCTCCCGCGGTGTTGTAAGGATTAAAAAACGTTACATTACTTCTTATAATTATCATGGTATTCATTACATCATTTTCTGTGATAGCGAAAAAATAAGAGGGCTGGACGCCTGGTTAAATGAACAAAGGCACAGCCCTGCTAAATGAATGATTCAGATCAATATACACCGACAGGAAGAGATGTCCAGGATGTTCACCGGGATATGTCATAAGTGAAGAAAGCAAGTGTTAAAAATGCATTTCTATAATTCTTTGGAAAACGAAGTTGGAAATTTTTGCATCCTGCTCCTAGATATATTGGAGAAGGAAATGGCAACTCACTCCAGTCTTCTTGCCTGGAGAATCCCATGGACAGAGGAGCCTAACGGGCTACAGTCCATGGGGTCGCAAGAGTCAGACACGACTTAGTGACTAAACCACCACCGCCTAGATATATACCCTGGAGAAGGTCTTGCAAATGCAGGTTATGAAGTTCAGAGCAGCAATGCTTGAAACCAAACTGGAAATAATTCATATAGCTATCAAGGAGAATGGAATCTTTTTACATTATGATACATTCACATGGTGAAATACTACATAGCAGGGGGAAATGACATGGATGGATCTTACAGACAGGAGGAGTGAAAAAGCCAAGTTCTGGAAGACAAATGGAACTATACAATATACTGTTTAAGTGCACAGCAGGCAGTAGGCCGCCTCTCATAGGACAGGAGATAGTTTTGCCTATCAGAGTGATTAAAGTTTTAAAAGTAAAAATCAAGAACACAGCAGTTTTGTGTGTTGGGAGATGGGTGTGGGAGAAGGGGAAAAAGGCAGGGGTGTGCAAGTTATAGTATCAAAGTTCTGGTCTTTAAGTGGGATATGAATTCAAGAAGTTCATTGTATTGTTTTATTATTCACAAGTATAACTCATGCCATCATTCGAGTGTACTTTAAAAGGTGAAAAAAAAAGAATATAAATGAAAATAAAGAGATGTTTTTGTCTATCACAGTGATTGAAGGGTCAGTAGTGGTTATTTCTGGAATGATAAGATTATGGGCTGCTGTCTTCTTTTGACTTCACTGTATTTTCCAAATTTTTTAAGATAATGGTCAGATAATGTTTTTTATATTTTAAAATTTATTTTTAATATAAAAAATGAACTGCATATAGAGCATGATTCACTTTTTTAATCCAATTATCTATGCACACGTAAGTGCACACAAACTGCTTCGGGAAGAATCCATGAAGGGACTATAGGCAGTAGTTTCCCCTGGAGAGTAGATGTGGGGAGAGTGGATTGGGTGCTATTTTCACCTTTTGCTTTATAAACTTCCAAGTGGTCTGCGTTCGACTAATTTAGGACATTAATACCACTTTGTTTTTAATTAAAACAAGTTAGTGGGCCCCGCTGTAGACACTGCCCTCCAGGCACTGGGGGCAGTTCAAATGGCAGTGGGCGCAGGCAAGGCTTCCCGCCCCTCTGGTGTCCTGCTCCATCCACTTCCTGAGCCTTGGCCCCAGCCTCACCCCAGCCCTCCTCCGCGCCTGCCCTGCCCTGCTGGCCACAGGACAGGAAACCATGGAGCAGAGAGCAGGGCACCTGACGAGCATGACTGCTGGGAGCTCACAGAAGGGGAATCTCCTGCTTGAGGTCACAGGCAGGTTAGAGGCCAGGGGTGGAGGCATCCGGTCCCCAGTCCTCCCAGCCCCGGACGATGACCTGGACTCTGGAAATAAAAGGGTGCTGCAGCCCAGCTCCAGGACCAAATCTGGGGCTGGAGCTCCCCCATCAGGCCTGCTGTGTCCCTGGGACCAGGCTTACTCCAGGAGGCTCTGCTCTAGGGCTAGCTTCCCTTTCCAGAGCCCCCAAGAAGAGTAACCACCACTTCAATAATAACAACAAGGACACGGAAGCCTACAGTTTCCTGTGGGTCAGGGGTTTTTCCTGTGCTATTAATAACAAGCACTATGCGAACATACCTCACTGAATCCTTAGCACAGTCTATAACGTGGAGACTGCTGTTACTCCCGCTTCCCAGAGGGAGAAAGTGAGGCTCAGAGTACCCAGGTGTTTCAGCTTGGATTGCCCCAGGCCTGTACACTAAATAGTCACAAGCCTTTCTGCCTACAAGTGTTTCCTAGGTGGCTCAGTGGTAAAGAATTCGTAATGCAGGAGATGCAGATTTGATCCCTGGGTCAGGAAGAAAGATCCCTTGGCGAAGGAAATAGCAACCCACTGCAGTATTCTCGCCTGGGAAATCCCACGGACAGAGGAGACTGGCAGGCTGCAGTCCATGGGTTGCAAAGAGTTGGACACGACTGAGCGAGCATTTCTGCCACCGAAGCCCTAAGCCTGCCCCGCACACATGCCAGGACCTTCATGTCTGAGAAGCTGCGGCCAGTTCTGGTGCTACTCCCCGACGCTGCCCACAGCTGGGCAGCCCATGCCCTCTGGAGTCGTCCCCCTGCCCCCACCACAGTCTGAGGGCAGTGGCCTCTGCTTCAGCCCTTCCTGCCCCAGGGTGGTGGTCCCTCAGGCCCTTCACACCCCTTAGCAATCTTTGCACTGTTAGGATTTTTTTCCCCACCATGGGATACTGGAAAAAGCCTTCACAGGTCTCTGGGTGGTGGGTCTGGAACTAAAAAGTCCCTGGTCATTTGCAGACAGAGGCTGGAGCCATCAGACTGGTCCAGGTGACACTGGACTTGAGTACCCACCAGTACCTAGAAGAACCCAGGTTCCTTTCCTCACCTGGGCTAAATGTGAGTGTGCGTTCCTGCCTGGCCCCAAGTTCTTTCTGAGAAGAGGCTACGTGAGATATCTCCAGGCTATGAGACTCACCCAGCTTCCCTTGGTTTCTAGGAGGAAGCAGTGGGTCCCCAGCAGGCCCACAGAGGAGACAAAACAGCCTGGGTGTGACAGAAAACAGGGGCCCAGAGAGAGGCTGCCCACATGACCCCCACTATATTCCTCAGGCTCCCACTCCCCCCGACTCACCTCCGGGAAGCTGCAGGAACTGCAGTGGCAGAGAAGGGGGTCCAGAGAACGTCAGCAGGCCCAGGTCCAATCTCCAGACATCTGGAGTGGCTGGTGGATCGCAGCTGCCAGGTTACCGCTCCAGAAAGACATTTAGGTCAACAAAGCAATAAACCTCCAACCCACCCAAGGGCAGGGCCAAGATAGAGGTGACTCTGTACACTGGACACCAAGGGTTGGGCCTGCGTTTCCCGAGTAATGGAACAGGAGTGGGAGGCAACCTCCTGGGATAGGCTGGAGTCGTAATCCAATCAAACCCAGCAGACCCTGGGCCTGGGAGACCGAGGGTGATGCCATGAGCAGACACAGCTGATGGTGGTGGGAGGTCTTCCTGCCCATCCCTCACCATCAGGACAGGCAGGGCTGGGTGAGCAAAGGAGCCCCTGCTGAAAATGATGGCGCCCCACTTCCTGGGTGCCATCTCTCTCCCGTGAGCTGTACCACTACTCCCTGCGCCTTTTACAGGTGAGGAAACTGAGGCCACGAGGTAGGCGCTAACTTACCAGGGCCCTGCAGCAGGAAGCAGAGCCAGAATGAAGCTAGGTCTGACTCGAGAGTCCTGTCTCTGAGCCTGGAGATTCCCCCACCAACCACCCCCCGCCCCCGCGCTGCCACCAGCCACGAGGTCACATTGCCCCTTACCTCTCCCCAACACCAGCTTAGAAACACTCACCACCGCCAGGCCAGCAGCTGTGGCTTGGCCGCCAGCCTGCTGCCTCCCACAGCGTGGCTCCCTGCCTCCCCAGCTCAGCGCTCTCCTCCCACACCTGCAGCCTTCTGGGGCCACCGGGCACTGGGTAAGCGGAGGCAGGGCACTAAAGGCCTGTGGGCCCGATGCCAGGTCTCCAGACTCTCCTGACAAGGTTGGGCGCGGGAGGGGCACATTCCGGTCACTTGGACTCCCTAGCGCAAACGGCTACACGTGATTGACAGGTCCAGTGCCAAATGAAAAGGTGTAGCCCCTTGTTAATTTAAAAAAAAGTGTCAAGTGGAAACTGCAGAACATTAAGCTAAGCCTGGTGCCTGAGGAAACTGCACAGGTCACCCGTCAATGAACTGGCTGAGTCCCAGAGCTGCAAGCTAGAACCCAAGGACGCCATCCCAGCTGAGATCTGGGGTCCTGGCCCACCATTAGTCTCCTAGTCTCCAGAAATGGGGAAAAGGGAGGAAGTTGGGAAGAAGGGAGGGGGAGTGAAGCCCTTTCCTTCACCTGATACAGGGGGCCCAGACACTCAGCTGCAGCTCTGACCTGGGATTGCATCCTGGCTCAACCCAGTGGCTTCATGTCATTTGTGAACTGGGCTAACTCTAACCCCACCCCAGGGACGGTGGCTGCACACCGTCCATCCCCTGTCCGATGGTGGGTCTGCTTTTCCACTTTACCGGTGACCGAACTGCTACTCAGAAAAGGAAAGCCCCGGGCCTGCCCCCCTCTTTCCTTTCTGATAGTGTAACGAACTCCGGAGTTAACTGGGAATTTAACTGGCCAGGCCCTCAGAATCTGACCCTGAACCAGGAAGGGAACATGATGTGGGGGAATTTCCTCCCACCCTGACTGCTCTCCCAGTGCAGGGTGGGAATCCCACGGAAGCCTCTGATCTGGGGCGTCTCCTGGGCTATGTGCTGCCATGGGGCCACACACCCTCAGCTGGTGGGGAAGAAGATAGGCTCTCGAGGAAGAAACAGGCAGGGAGATTAGACAGCCAGAAGGCCAGCTGGCTGGAGGTCTCCCCTCAAGGCAACAGGTCATGCACTTGTGGTGAGCAGAGAAGCTCCAGTCCCCACCCTCAGACACATGACAATAGCCAGGACAGGCTTCCAGAAAACACATTTACCCGTACACTCCAGAGGTGGCCCTGGCAGTCACAGTTCAAAGGCTCCCCCCCTCACCCAATGAACCCCAAACTCGAGGCTGCCCCACCGAGGGCAACCAGCCTGGGAAGTGTGGCACCAAAAGCAGGTGGAGAGGGAATGCAGAGAGGAAGGACCAGGGCTAGTGCTCGGTCAAAATTCATAGTGCTGGTGACTGGGGGCCACCAGCCCCCAGGGCAAAGGTCACTGGACAGACTCAGAGGTGGGAAGAATTTGAAAACGACTCAGACTGCTCAGGGAGCAGGGGTGGGGAGGAGGCTGTCAAGGTCACCAGAGGCCTCCTCCTCTCTCCCCAAGTCTAGAAGCCTGAGATGGCTCCACGTGTCCCCAAGGGTATGGCTGGAAGGGAACTCAGGTCCGCTCGGCACATGGCAGGAGACAGGATCCATAAATTAAGTGTTTTTGGCGGGGTGTGGCTGCAACAGAGGCCTGGTGATGGCGCTGTGGCGATGGGGCCATTGCATCCTCCAGGATGGATGGGCGAAGATGATGGGCCTCTTCTTGGCCCAGCGAGAGAACACAGCCTTCTCGGTGATGAAGCGGTGGGCGCTGCGGGGCGCCCGCTCATGCGCCAGGTACATTTGACACTCATCCAGCCGGCCCTTCTCAAAGTAGTGGTAAGGCACCGAGGGGTGATGCTCCTCCCTGTGGGTGGGGAAGAGGGACAGGTGTGAGGCACCCCAACTTGCCCACCTCCCGCCAGACCCTGCCACCTGCCGGGACCATCCTTCACCCAGCCCTACGGACCACAGAGTCCCTCAGGCCTGGTCCCAAGGGTAGCCAAGATAGATAAAGGAGGAACAGGGCAGCCCCTGAGGATTCCAAAGGCTGAGGGTTCAAGCCCTGGCTGTACCTCTTGCGAGCTGGCTGACTCTAGGCCAAGACAAACGCCCTGAGCATCAATAACCCATCTGTAAAATGGGCACGGTGACATCTACCTTCCTGACTGAAAGTGAAAGTGAAGTGGCTCAGTCATGTCCAACTTTTTGTGACCCCATGGACGGTAGCCTACCAGGCTCCTCCATCCATGGAAAGTTCCAGGCAAGAGTACTGGAGTGGGCTGCCATTTCCTTCTCCAGGGGATAGTCCCGACCCAGTGATCAAACCTGGGTCGTCCCACATTGCAGGCAGACTTTACCACCTAAGCCACTAGGGAAGCTAAAACCACAGGTCAAAAAATGCAAAGTGCCTGGTGCCGGGCTCATGGTTGAGGGACCCCTGGTTCCCCGTAGCATGGAAGTGCCAGGCCTGCACATCCACCTACTCACAGGCAGTCTGGCCAGGCATCCTGGTAGAGAGGGGCTACTTTCATCTTGCCCCCGTGCTCAGCGAAGAAGTTCTCCCAAAAAACAGAGGGTGAAAATGCGGGGCCCCTTCAGTTCAGTGATGGGAGCTATGACAGTGTTGAAGTAGAACAACATCGCAAGTCAAAGCTTGGGCGTAACAGCTGATGATGGACACGCACAGCAGCCCTGAGGCTGGGGTAAGGACTTGGGGAGATCATTCTCTCGCTAAACATTTCCACAAGCTTCTGAGGACAGTGTGGTCATTTGCTCTCTTTGACCTGAGAAAACAGTTGCCATGGGAGGTGGCAGCCGGGCCCAAGACCACTCGGGCAGAGCGGAGGTTGGAACCCAGCCTGTTCTACAGGTTGGGCTCCTTCCCACTGGGTACCAGGCCCAAGGGCTGTCTGTGCCTTGGCTGCTCACGCGGAAGCCCACATACCCTCAGCGTAGGGCCCAAACACGGTGTCCCCCCGCCTGGCTCCTGGCTGGCCTGACCTGCAGTAGCTGTCGCTGACCATCCCGTAGACCACGATCTCCTCACACAGCTCCAGGGCGAGGATCATGGTGAACCAGCCGGTGCTGAGGAAGGACCCGGACTGCCTCCTGGCCGGGGAAGGGACGCACAGTCAGCTGGCCACGTCCGCCAGCTCAACTTGGAAGCAAGGTGGCCCAGCTCAGCTGGCTCACCGCACAGCACTGGTTCCCCTCCGAGTCAAGGGCTTCTCACCTCGACCCCCACAGAGAGGCTCTGGGGGACACTGGGGAGCTGGAAGATCTGGCCCAAGGCCAGCAGTGGGCAAGAGGTGGGCGTGGGTGCCAACCCATGTCTGTTCATCTTCTACCCATCCACACAGGACTTGAGCAAACCACGCCCCCAACAATGATGATGCATCAGCCCTGGTCACACCCTCTCCGCATCACAGGGACCAAGCTTGCAGAGACAGCAGAAAGCAGCAGAAACACAGCCACTGAAAGTGGGGAAGAGGGTTGTCGAGAGTCAAGCAGTCTTCAACTTGAATCCTGAATCTGCTCCGGGGCATCCGGTTTGCTTATGAACCTCTCTGAGCCTCAGTGACCCATGGGTGACATGGGGATAACTATAGGTGGTAATGGAGAGGGAACACCGTCAGTCCAGCTCCTCCCACGAGCCCCAACCGCCAACTCAGAGCATGGGAGCCTGGAGCCGGACCTGGCCTCGCCACTCTCAAAGCACCAGTACTGACTACTTTCCCAGCAGATGGCCATTCATCTTGGGCTCTACTGAAGGGCTGTGGGGTGGTTCAGCCATTCAAACTAAACACTTCCCAAGCCCTGAGCTGGCCATGAAGCAGCCCCACCCAGCGTTAACATTCTCAAGGAAGGGGGCAGCTGGAAGAGACCTGCTGGGAAGACAAGGAAACAAAAGAATGGGATGACTGATGTCAGGTAGGAAGTGTTCCTTCAGACGGGGGCAAGGAGAAATGCCATCCATACTGAACACAAGGGAGGATCTGGGGGTAGGAGTGGCAGGTGCAAAAGGCCTGCAGGTGAGAGCAGTGTGGAGGTCCACGGCCAGTGTGGCTGGAGCAGGGCAAGCGATGGACGATGAGGCCACAGAAGCAGGCAGGGGCAGACCATGCAATGGCACGAAGGCCAGGGGAGGGGAGAAGGTGGGAGTCTGGACTTTATTTTCCGTGTGATGCGAAGCTGCTGTAGGGTGAGGCCAGGTGACTGGTAGGATGAACTCACTGGGGCACTTAGAGATCAGACTGCAGGGCTTGCTGCAAGGGCAGGGGAGTGTGGGGACTTCCCTGTGGTCCAGTGGCTAAGACTGCGCTCTCAGTGCAGAGGACCCAGGTTCAATCCCTGGTCAGGAAACTAGACCACACATTATGCGGCTAAGAGTCTGAATGCCACAACTAAAGATCCAACATGCCACAGCAAAGATCCTACGTGCTGCAACTAAGACCAGACACAGTCAAACAACTAAAAATATCACCAAAACCAGAGAGGAGGATGGTGACTTAGGTCAAGGAGGTACCCGCGGGCAAGGAAGGAGAGTCGCAAGCCCATCCTACGTGACAGGTGATGAAACAAGGGGAGTCGAGGGCAAAGTCAAGTGTTTGACTAAAAAACTGGAGGCTGGTGGTTGTATTTTCTGAGCTGCGGAGGTGGGGGAGAAGCCAGTGTGCAGAGGAGGAAGCCATAACAGTTCAAGTGCTCCTCTGGGTGTTGGATAAAATGAGATCTTGAAGGCAAGAGTACTTAGCTCAGTACCTGGTGCACAAAAAGGGCTGTTAGAACTGCCACTGTTACTTTCAATTCTGGAAGGGACATCAGAAACCAATTCAGGTCTCAGAGCATCCCCTCCAAACAGAAGAGCTCCCTGCCATGGCCCCACACTAGTCACCACCACCAACAACAACAACCCCCCTGCCACCCCGCCCCGCCACGGTGTATACTGGTGAGGCTGAACACCCTTCACTGCCACGTGGAATATCTATGTTGTCATTCGATGACAACAGTCTCTCTGATTCCTGTCCCCATCAGAGGGCAGGACCACGTCTGCCTCTATCACTGCTGAGCCCCAGTGCCAGACAGAGCAGACCCTCGATGGACCAGAGGCATCTGGAGAAGGCAGGCCCCCAGCTGCCAGGGAGACCCCCAGCTGCCAGGGAGACCCCCAGCAGGCCAGCTCCCCGGCTCCTGCTCACCGGTTCTTGCCTGTCTCATCCTGGAAGACCTGGTCGCAGTAGGCCATCATTCGCTCGGTGAACGTGTACACCTGCAGGCCAGGGTACATCCTGGTGAGCTGCAGCAGCGCACGGTAGGTGCGGCCGCCCAGCGCCCGGTCCATGTGCTTCCCCTGGCCCCACACCACATAGAGCGTGTCGCGGGCCTGCTGGAAGTAGTGGGAGTAGTTTCGCAGCAGCAGAGGCACGCTCGTGTGGGAGATGACCCGCAGGGTGCTCCGCTGGCCCACGTCTGCCTCGAAGCCCACGGTGGGCGCCTGGTTCATGCGCAGTACACACTCCGCACTGTCGATCTCGGCGCCCAGGCCCGAGCCCAGCATCTGGCCTGAGCTGGACACCACGGCGCAGCTGCGGCACGGCTCTCGGACCAGCGGCTGTGGGGGGAGGTAGAGAGAAAGAAAGGAAGTCCTGGGCATGTAGCTTCCACCCCGCCTTCTCCTCCACCCAGGAATACACCTGACCACCTGTATCAGCTCCAAGGACTTCATCAACCCATTTTGCAGATGAGGAAACAAGCCAGGCAGTTGGTATGACTTTCTAAAGGTCATACCAGTGACAAGTGGCAGAGCTAAGATTCATTATTCAAGGTCCTGTGCTTCCCCATCAGCTACATTTCTGGCCCTGGTTTCTGTTGCTAAGGCCCTATGAGGCCTTACATTGTACTTTCTTGTTAGGATTATATAAGTTAATATTTATAAAGCACTTAGAGCAGTTCCTGGCACAGACTAGGTGTCAGTTATATATTTGTTAGGTAAATATGAACCTCAACTCTTCAGAATTACTTTTAGGTCACTTCCTCCTCTGCCCAAGTCCCATTTTCCTTGTCCCAGTTTATAAGTAAAAGCCCATGACAACATTGGGAACCTCTGGTTCTGAGCCTGAATCCTGGCTCCGCCCCATCTTGGCTGTGTGTGCTTAAGGCAAGTTACTTTGTCTCTCTGAGCCTCAATTTCCTCATTTATAAAAAGGGGATGAAAATAGCATCTACTTGATCAGGTTGTAAGGATTCAATTAAAAATGCCTAGAGAGTGATCAACACAGCCTGAGGGCACAGTAAGCTGCCCTCCCACCACCTCATTATCTCATAAAAGGCAGAAGCTGATCCAACAAGTCTGCAAACTGGAGGTCAGGGCTCCCAGAAAGAAGACTTGCTGCCTACCCCAGGCCTCCATGCCCTCTTTGGGAACACAGGTTGATGGAGGCCTATAAAGGATATGGAAACACTCAATCTAGTTGATAAAAGACACACAGTTGTAGCCCACTCAGGGACAGTTTATGTCTGACACTGTGTTGATTTAAGGACTCGTAGCCCCATTTTCCATGCCCTGGCAATAAAGAACAAGACTTCCTTATTCTGCTCTCAGTTTGAGTCTGAGCTGACAATTGTGGTCTGTTCAGATCCAAGATCACCATCAGCCCCAGAAGGTGTTCTGCTTGTCCTGTTCTGCAGGGTCTTTAAGACAATGAATCCTATACAGAAATCAGCCCTTTTGACATTCTAAGATTTTCTGCTCTGTTAACAAACTCAGAGGATCTGGCCCTCCTGGGGCCACATCCTCATGAGCTCTGAGCATCTGAAATGAACACTAGCCGTGACCATGGAAGCTAGGACGGCGTCTACCCAGCCCACCTTGCCGCTTGTCCCTCTTGGCCAAACCTGGCGGCACTTGAGTTTGTCCCTCCCAACTCAGCTGTTTCTGCATCTTGATCAAAGATTTATACAGCACCCATTCTAAACACTGTCCACGAATCAAAGAGTTGGACCTGCAGAGCAACCCTACTGAGGTAGGAACCACAATGATTGCCTTTTACAGATGAGGCAACTGTGACTCAGAGGGATGAAGACCTGAAACAGATCTCCAGCGCAAGGTCCCTGAGCCGTCCTCCCTCTGACCAACACTTGGAGAGCTGGCAGACTCCGAGCTCAGACCTTCCTGCACCAGGTGTCGTTGGGAGATGCCTTTGAGAAACCTACCAGCTGGGGCTGCTGAAATCAGGGTGAGCGGTGTAAAGCATTCTGAACCTCGCCTGGCAGAACAAGCATGGGGAGGTGCACGCCACGGGGCAGGGGCCTCAGCTGCCTTGTCACCCTGGGCTCCACTGTCCCTGTCTCCTGTAGAGGGACAGCTCTGGGGCAGATCTGTATCCCCAGCAGGTATCAACACAAGGCAGAGCACATCGAAGGCACCAAATACACACTTGCTAAACAGATGGGTTGTTCGTGGACAGTTATTAATAAATCTAAAGCTGCATGTACCACCATGATGTGATGCTGTCTGGCTCTCAGGCTGGACTGGGAGTTCCAGGTGGCCACCCTGCCTAACTCATCTTTTTTATCTCCAGTGCCCAGCTGAGAGCCGTCAGGCAATATTTGTTGAATTAAAAAAAAAAAAAAAACATTTAGGAATACCCTGGTGGTCCAGTGGTTACGACTCAGTGCTTTCACTGCTATGGCCTGGATTCAAGCCCTAATTGGGGAACTAAGATCCCGCAAGCCACGCAGTGCAGCCACAATTGGAAAAAAAAAACATTTCCTCCTAGAATTTGAAGCTCAGAGAGGTAAAGGGTCAGCTTGAGCAGAGGAGCCAAGTCCAGGATCCAGGCTGGCCTGACGTGAGCCCAGTTCTCACAGTCTGCAGAGAGTTGGGGAGAACCCTGGCAAGCTTGGCTGGGCCTACACCCCACCCCTCGACACACTGCCCAGCGAACTCACCTTCCCATCTGGCACACTGCTGTAGCCACTGAAGTGCAGAGGCCCCGGCACGGTGGGCCTGGAGTTGATAGAGAGGTGGGGGTCCAGGCAGGCGGCCGGGCAGAAGGGCAGGCAGGCCCAGCAGCACAGCAGGATGTAGACAGCCGAGAAGCCCGCAGAGCAGAGGACGATGAGCAGGAGCCGACCCTGGGGGAGACAGCGGTCATGGGGTGCGAGTTGGGGGGGATTGTCGCTGGAGCTCCTAGAAGCTGCCGCTGGGGTCCCCAGCCTCATGGGTCCAAACCACAGTTCAGTAGTTCCCAGAACATCAGCAGAGGCCACAGTCTCTGTCAGCCAGGCCTGCCTCTGGGCTTGGTTCGGAGCACATACATGACTGAGATAAGCCCTATTATCCCAATATTCTAGATAAGGAAACCAATTTGGGGTGAAAATGGGTAGGCAACTCAAGGTCACACAGTAAGAAAGCAGCAGGGTGGGGTCTCCAAACCAGAAACCGTCCTCTTAACCAGAAAGCTGAGGTGCCCTGTGCAGCCTTGGGCATAACTGTCTACCTCTCCGGGCCTGCTTCCTCTGTGAAACCGATACTACCCACAGTGGGAACTCACTCTGAGGACAGTGGCCAAAGGGCTACCGTAAAGTGCTGTGCATATGAAGACATGAGAGTGGCCCAGCAGAAGGGCCACCAGTTCCCTTCAGATCCCGGTTTGAGGCTGTCCCGTACACCCAGAGCCCGTCCCCGCCCCCAGCTGACTCCATGGTCGCCCTCCTCCCCCAGCTGATGATCATGACCTGGGTCAGCAGACCGTGTGAGTAAAGAGACAGTAGAAGGGGATATAGGGAAGCGTCACTCAGCAAACGGTTTCAAGAACTGAGAGCTGCTGCCCTAAGGCTCCCTCCTCCAGAAACCACGTCCCCAGAGGCCACGTGAACCAGGAAGCCCTCCTGGCCCCCTGCCCGGCTGGCAGATGTAGTGAATACCTCCACTGAGCCTTCAAGGAGGGGCCGCCTGGTGGGGGGACACAACCCTGGCCTGCCATTGTGTGCTGGGCCAACTTGGTCACCACCTGTGTCTCTCTGGGCTCTAACCGGTCTCCCAGCCTGCCCAAGACACAGGTCCCTCGGCCTCAGAAACCATCTGGCAAGCTGGCTGGGGCTCTCTGAAAATCAGAGGTGAAAAAGTAGCCCCCACCAGTCCCCTCCTTGGGCATATCCTGCCAGAGGCCCTCCCTCTTCTGCCCACAAGCCACTTCAGCTCCTAAAAATAAATCTCTGTGAGACCAGCTGTGCGCAGGAGGGGGTTCAGCCCCTGAGGCCTCAAGCTGTGCTTGGCACCTGGTTTCCTGACCACAAGGACCCAGAGACCCTGATTCAGGCAGCCACGGCTGACTTCCCACAACACTCAAGGCTCTCACCAGGGGCTCCTGATTAAAGTCAAGATTCCGCTAAACTGAACTTTCACGACATACCCTGCTCCCAGGTAGATGCCTCACCGGGGTGACCCCTGGATGCTCACAGGAGGCAGTACTATTATCTCCATTATACACAGAAGGAGGAGCAAGGCACTGAAACCAGAGAGGGAATGCCACTTGCCAGGGGCCACACAGCCTGGCAGATCAGGGCTGGACTTTGAGGCCAGTCTGCTGGTCTCCTTCAGCTCAGGAGCAGTGGAATCATAAGTGACAGTCAGCCCTGGGGTGGGGAGTCAGGGGCGGGGGGTGAGGCTACTGGGCCGGAAGCCACCTCCCCTGTGAGCCTTCCTCCTTCGGCCACTTACCGGAGCCTTCATGCTGACACTGCCGCTCAGCAGCCCGGTGGCTGCTGCCTCCAGGGATCAGGCTGGGAAGGGATCGGAGGAGCCAGGGACCTGTCAAGACCCAGACACTCAGAGCTGGGTCCCAGGCCTCCAAGGGATCTGCCCAGGGATACTGAGGCAGGGGAGGGTACAGGCCTGGGTCAGGGCAGACAGCTCCTGGGAATCACATGCCCTCAAGTCCCCAAACACGGGGCAAACACCGTCCCCATCCTAAAGGAGCTGAAACCTCCCGCCAACCCAGTCCCCACTGCACAGATGGGGAAGGAGAGGTAGACAAGAGAAGCCCAGGGCTCAAGGCCACCCCATCCAGTCTGGGTCAGATAAGCACCAGGAGCCTGGAGCCTTGACTCCCATCTCCGCCTAACTCAGTAACAGAGAGGCCTGGGGCTGGACGGGACAAGGGCTCTCCACCCCACCGCCAGACCCCACCGACCCTCACCAGCTCGGGCGCTAACCTGGAGGGCAAGAGGGGATGCGCCGGCTGCTCCCCATCCGTTGCTCGGAGCTCCATGGCCCGCGGGCGGGACGGACGGGGCAGGAAGCCAGAGCCCCGAGGCTGAGGCGTCGCCGTCACCGTCGCTTCAGCTTCTGGAGGCTGGAAACTGATTGTGCGCCGCCGCCGGCGGGGGCGGGGTTTGCTAGGACGGTGGGGAGGAGACAGGCGCCCGGCGCGGGGCTGAGCGGCGGGGGCGGGGGCGGGGCCTACGAGCGCGCCTCGGGTGGGGCGTGCGCGGTGGGCGTGGGCTGGGGCGGCGAGGCCGCAGGGTCTGGGGACCCGGCATCAGCAGCTGGGGGTGGAGTCTCAGCTCCAGCATCTCTTCCCTTCCGCCTTTCAGCGCATCTCCTAAGCTCCTCCGGGTGGTGGGGTGGGCGGCCCCATAGAGGAAAGACCTAGAGGGTGCCTTGTGTGACTTGTCGCCCTCTTGTGGTCCGGACTGGAATTTCTCCATTTCTGAAGTTTGGGTGTGGGGAGCTTCAGGGACAATCAAGTGGGGTTTTAGGCTGAGGCTGCTCCAGATTTCAAACTTCGTACGGTTGCTGGATTTCGCCAAGTAAAGTACCGGATGCCCACTTATATTGGAATTTGAGAAAAGAAAGATAGCGCTAAGTCGCATCCGACTCTTGCAACCCTGTGGACTGTAGCCTGCCAGGCTCCTCTGTCCATGGGATTCTCCAGGCAAGAATACTGGAGTGGGTTGCCATTTCTTTCTCCAGGAGATCTTCCCGACCCAGGAATCGAACCCAAGTGTCCAGCAGTGCAGGTAGATTCTTTACCGGTTGAACTACGCAGGAAAGTAGCCACTAATTATGTTAGAAGTCTGAAAGTCCAGTGTAACTGTGTGTGTTAGTCGCTCAGTCATGTCCAACTCTTTGCGACCCCACGAACTGTAGCCTGCCAGGCTTCTCTGTCCATGGAATTCTCCAGGCAAGAATCTTGGAGTGGATTGCCATTCCCTTCTCCAGAGGATCTTCCCGACCCAGGGATGGAACCCTGGTCTCCTGCCTCGCAGGCAGATTCTTTACCGTTTGAGCTACAGGGAAGTCCTCCAGTGTAACTGGGCGTCCTGTATTCTTTTTTTCGGGCATCCTTACCTGGACTACTTCAGATGAGCCTCAGTTTTTCTCCTCTGTGGAGGGGGGTTGATGATAGAACCTACCTCAAAGTGCTGGAGCATCTTGTGGCAGAAGCAGGATTTGAACTGGGAAGTCACTGCAAAGCCAGGGCTCTGACCGCCTACTTTCAACTCCCAAATGCCCCTGTTTTGTTGCAGGGTCCAGCAGTAAGACCAGGTTAGAATCACAGGATGGGGATATACAAAACAACCAGTATTCAATTCATGAGTCACTTGGTTTATTGTACACAATTAGCAGGTGAAGAGTTGGACTGTATAAAGGGCTGACTGCTGAAGAATTGATGCTTTCCGACTGTGGTGCTAAGGAAGGCTCTTGAGAGTCCCTTGGACTGCAAGGAAATCAAACCAGTCAATCTTAAAGGAAATCAACCCTGAATATTCACTGGAAAGATTGATGCAGAAGCTGAAGCTCCCAGTACTTTGACCACCTGATGTGAAGAGCTGACTCATTGGAAAAGACCATGATGCTGGGAAAGATTGAAGGCAGGAGGAGAAGGGGAATGACAGAGGAAACAGTTGGATGGCATTACCAGCTCACTGGAAATGAGTTTCAGCAAACTCCGGGAAATGGTGAAGGACAGGGAAGCCTGGTGTGCTGCAGTCCATGGGGTCGCAAAGACTTGGACATGACTTCGTGACTGAACAACAACAAAAGCAGGCAACACAAGTTAGTCAAAGTAGGGAAAATAGAAACGGGGGTAACAAACTTGTCCAAGGAGAAGTCTGGGAAGATCCCATCTCAGCACCAGTGAGCAGCAGGTTTTGGTCTAGCTGAACCAGTCTCATGACAGACATGATAGGAAGTCACCTTCTGCTCCAACAGAGCATCCATCTGGAACAGCAGCGGGGAGTCCTCCAGCAAAGAGCCTTCAAGTTGCTCAGCACTGTGGTCTCATTTTAAGGAATCTGCCTATAGAGGGTAAGAGTTATACCCCCAAGGAGTCTTAATCAGTCTTGGTGCCAATAGAGTCTTTCTGAGAAACCAAACTAATTCCTTATCTAAAGCAATGCTTTTTTTTTTTTGACCACACTAAATGGTATGCGGGATCTTAGTTCCCCCACCAGGGATCAAACCTGCACCCTCTTCAGGGAAAGCATAGAATCTTAACCGCTGGACCTCCAAGAAAGTCCCTAAAGCAACAATGTTAACTTATCACATTCAGACACTCACAGTCCTGTAATGGACAGTTCACAATAACTAATATGGAAGTTCACATTGGCCACAGTGACTCCATCTTGAATTACTAAATTTAAATCCTATGAGTTTCACACAAGATGAGGAGGAAGCATAGAAACAGAAGAAGTCACACTGTAAAAGCCTGGGCTCCTGCTCTGGTCCTATTTCAAACTCTATTTTCCTATTTCTAAGAGGTTCTGATGTGGATACAATAGCAAGGTATCTGTGTTGGGAACCTGCACCCAGTTCAGCAAATTTCCGGGGCTATCCACTCCATGTGCGTGCATGCTAAGTCACGTCAGTCATGTCTGATTCTTTGCGACCCCACTGACTGTAGCCCACCAGGCTCCTCTGTCCATGAGAGATTCTCCAGGCAAGGATATGGAATGGGTTGCCATGCTCTCCTCCAGGGGATCTTCCCAACGCAGTGATTGAACCCGCATCTCCTGCATTGGCAGGTGGGTTTTTTTTTTTTTTACCACTAGCACTACCTGAGAAGCCCACATGCAAAGCCAAATTCCTTGAAGCCAGTGATCAGACCTCCGTGCTGCTACTCATCCTATTGGAAGGGCTGATGTTGAAGCAGCCCTGCTTCCAGTGCATCCTTTGAGCACAAGCCTTCCTTGTGTTGCCTCACCCCAACCTGGGCACACCTAAGTTCAGTCTCTCTCCGTGGCCCCAGCTCCAAGGGGAAGAAAATGGTGAGATGTTCCCTATGGATTCACTGATCACCCACAATGGCTGGTGAAGTGATGATTCCTTCCACAGAGAGGCATATCCTGCCTTGCTAAGACTGCATGGGGACAGGGACACACACAACGGTCCCAAGCTCCCAGAGCAGAGGAGGATCATACATCCACAGAGGAACTGACACCAGCAAGTTTGCAGCCTCAGATGAAGCTCTTCAGTTTGACCCTGCAAAAGTCCTCTCTCCTCATCCTGATCTGTGAGGCCCTGCATGCTCTGAACTCCTGCCTCCTCCCCAATCGCTGTCCACCCACCCTGACTGCCGTTTCAATCTCCAATTGCATTGAACTTGTTCCTACCTCAGGACCTTTGCACTTGCTGTATCCTCAACCTGGACTTCTGTATTCACATGGTCAGCTCTTTCTAGTCATTCAGCTCAAATATCACCTCCTTAGAAGGCCCTTGTCAACCCCTCTATCTGACACCACACCCCCATTCCTCTTGTCCCAACTTGATTTATTTTTTTCAAGGGACTTGTCACACTCTGAAATCATACTGTGCATTGACTCATTGTCTTGTTTACGGTCCACCTGCCCACTAGCCTCTATTCTCCATGTGGGCAGTCAGGCCAGTCATGTCCTTAGAGCATTTCCAACACCAGCATGGTGTCCAGCACACACACAGTGCTAGATAATGTGTTGCTTGAGCCAGTTAGAAGAGCCAGGAGTCCTGTGCCTCATGAGACCTTAGAGGGGCCACGTTCTTTCAGGCCCTGCTTCAGCCCATTGTCAGAGACCCAAAGCAGGTAGAGACTGAACCATCCCTCTCCATGAGCATAGGTCTCAGGCCTTGACTCAGCCTGGTCGGACCCAGACCCCAGGAGAATGTAGGGCCAAGCCCCCGTTTCCTGCTGTGCTGCCCTTCCACCAGAGTTTCCACGACCCACCCACCTCCTTAGTGATGACCTTAACGCACTCCGTGTCTCAACTTCCTGCTGAGCCAGAACGAGAAGTGCTCCGTGGTTTGTGCCAGCTCAGAAAAGTTGAGTAATCACCTAGGGTCACCCAAACAGCAAGGGATGACGTCAATTAGGTGTATATTCCAGGAGCCCACGCTCCAGCCCTGCAGCCTAAGACTTCCTTTTCCTCTCCCTTCCCCCACCAGCCGTCTTTCCTTGTTTTCTCTTAGGGCCAATGCAATGGCAGCGTTGAGTCACTGAGTGAGTTTCCTAAGGTCTGGAATCATCCGGCCCCAGGAACCAGCGATTGGCCCACAAATCTCCCCCCACCACCACACTGTCACCCCACCCTCAAACTCTGACCACAGTGAAATAATTCTTTCTCTCAAATGCCAAGCTCTCTCTTACCCCAGATCTTTGCTGTGTCCTTGGCTTGGGACACCCCCCAACCCCCCGCCACCACCAGAGCTGTATCTGATTCTTCTGGTCTCTGTTTAGAGGTTAGAGCCCCCCTTCCCATCAAATAACTAGATAGGGGCTCCTTCCCTAAGCGCCATGACCCCTTGTTTCTTCACGAGGCTTTGTCACACACATGACTTTTATTACTGTTCCTCCCACACACATACTGTGAGTTCTTTGGAGGAAGAATCTCTGCATTTCGCTCCACCCCAGGTCCCCATTCCCCCGGCAGAGGGCCTGTCACATAGCAGGTGCTCAATAAATATTTAATGAGTTAAATATTTCCATTTGCAAAATTAGACCACTGAGGCACAGAGAGGTTTAGCACCTTTTCCTGGTCACACAGCCAGGCCACAGAGAAGCTCTAGAGGAAAGGCTCCCTTGGGCATGGTCAAATTGGACTAGGGTCAGAGGTAGGGCTGAAATTTCCTGGAGGAGGGAGAAGGAATGATCAGGGGCTATGCAGGCAATTTCCTTCTCTGCTCTGGTGATGTCTGTGTGTCCAGACTGACCACCAACCCCTGCTCCCATTTCACAGGTGATTAAAGTGACTCCCAGAGGAGGGCAGAACTTACTCAAGATCAATAGTGGACTCCAGTCTAATGTTTCCTAGAGCTGAAGCCCACCCCCCACCATGCCCCACTTCCTCCCACCTGTGCAGGATATAAGGGGGCCACCCCAGAGGGAGG